ATACTCAATACCGAAACGATACCACAACAAAAAACAACGTATTAGCTAAAGTCACAGAATAACCACTGGTTACACATTGAACAATGTGTTGATAACTGGTAGAACAAATAAAATAAAAAATTCTATATAAAATGGATTGCAAAAATGGATTCAATTTATTTTATATTATTTTATTAGTCACATGCATAGGGTCGCAGATGTAATTGCAGGGTACAGTGAGATTCTTAAGCTCCGAGCTCCAACTGTGCAGGTCAAAAAGAGAAGTGAATGAAACAATAAAAATAACTGTAACAATGATAAATGTCCATTGGTGGGTGGGGACAGGGTAAATGTCCATTGGGGGGTGGGGACAGGGTAAATGTCCATTGGTGGGTGGGGACAGGGTAAATGTCCATTGGGGGGTGGGGACAGGGTAAATGTCCATTGGGGGGTGGGGACAGGGTAAATGTCCATTGGTGGGGTGGGGACAGGGTAAATGTCCATTGGGGGGTGGGGACAGGGTAAATGTCCATTGGTGGGGGGTGGGGACAGGGTAAATGTCCATTGGTGGGGGGTGGGGGACAGGGTAAATGTCCATTGGTGGGGGGTGGGGACAGGGTAAATGTCCATTGGTGGGGGGTGGGGACAGGGTAAATGTCCATTGGTGGGGGGTGGGGACAGGGTAAATGTCCATTGGTGGGGGGTGGGGACAGGGTAAATGTCCATTGGTGGGGGGTGGGGACAGGGTAAATGTCCATTGGTGGGGGTAGAATGTCCCAAGGGAATGTCCGTAGGAGGAGCAGCAGGGGGGGAAGTGAGAAGTGAATGAAACAATAATTATTATTATATAAATAACAGAAGAATTCTTTCAATTTTCCTTATGCAAAACCATGTCTGAGACTCAGACTATTTTACAATTACATCTAAAACATTTTAAAATGTAATTTGATACATAGGCTTAATTTGCTCATCTATGGTCATAATATTGGGTCAAATGACATTCATTAGACATATGATTCATTATTCATTACAGCTATGTAATTGAATGTATTCAATTAATATTTTGGTTCCAAAACAACATAAAAAAACACTTTGAAGCTCGTTTCTGATGCTTCTATATTGCAATAGTCTACACACCATAGAAATACAATGGATTTTACACACCATACTACGATTCCCAGAGTGCATTTCACTTCCCAGGGTGCACTTTTTTTGCCTAGGGCTGCTGGCTGGCTACTGCTAGCAAGCCTTTACAAATGCGAAGTAGTCTAAATATATTGCTGTCAAGTTATGAGTGAATTTCACATTACTTCTGGATTCTAATCATATTATAATGCTCACATTGTCATGCTGAATATATGCTCATGTCATTGTCACTCAAAAATTATTCAAATTTAGTTGATAGAGTAACAACAGCATTACAATGCAAATGTCTTAGTTAAAGTAGTTTGTCATTTTGGAACTAAATGGGTGGACGCCCTAATCAGGTTACGCACCCAATGCTTATGGGACCGGTCAATTTCTCAAAATTAAAATGCTGCAGGTTAAATGTCCGCCGCCACATTTTCATAATGGAAACCTTGATTCTGATGCCTAGTTACCATACCCCTATACATATCTACCTCTATCACTCCAGTATCTCTGCACATTGTAAATATGGTATTGGAACTGACCCTGTATATAGCTTACTTACTTTCGTGTGTTGTTCTTATTTATATATCTTGTGTGTTTTTTGTTTTACCTCATGTTATTAGTACTACATTGATATTGATTTCTGCGTTGTTGGGTTTAGAGCTTGCAAGAAAGGCATTTCACTGTACTTGTGCATATGACATTGAAACTTGAAATCAGCGAAGGGAAGTGAGTAAGTGTGCACACTTTGGGATGAAGGAGAGAGAATTGGTGGTGTCTGGTCGGAAGGAGAGCCTGGCTGGCGTAGGAATCCGACAGTGTTGCCGAGAAAAGCAGCTTCCTGTATCCTGGATCCTCACACAGCTGCAGGGGATAAATATAGACGACTTGGCTGGGAAAGCCATCGGGATACAGCAACACTCACTGCACAGTGTTACTGAACAATATGTGACAGACACACACACTGAAATACTTGCTCGCAGACATTCATCTATAAAAACAGGAGTCGGATATATCCTACAGTTAAATCAACCACAGTTGTACAATAACAAAGCACAACGAGGCCCAAAATTACGTTTGAATCATGAGTAATTGAACGCCCTATTGAGACACGAGAGTTGTCATAATGAAAACCAATGACATGCATGACTGTGTGCACTTAGCAAAGTCAGATCACATATCCAAAACAACGTTTTAGGACTACAACTAGAAAACAAGATACACATGACTCAGATTTAGGCCTCATGTTTTTAGCGGCAGGCTATTTGTTGCTACTTTGTTGCTACTTTTGTTGTTGCGTTTATATTTAGTTCTGTTAGTTATTAGGCAGGAATGTCTCTCTCTGACACACACAGTTAGGAGCACCACATGAAGTTTAGGAGCACTAGAATGTTTATTTTGATTTTTTATTGATTTGTTATACAGTCTATATTGGGCCTATATGATTTCTAGCTTATTTTGAAGCACATGTTGTGCCCTAGAAACTAATATGTAACACTGTAAATACATTAGTTTATTATAACAGCTAAAATGTTGATACGAATCATTGAAATGACAGTCATTTGTGGAATATTAGGTTTCTACATTGTGTAAAAGCACAATTTTCCTATTGAGATGCATTACTTTGAAAGTTGTACACTGTCTCTTTATTTATGAGGACATGCAAGAGATCTGTCGTTCATTCATTGCTATGATCATGATCTCCTGAAGAAGCTTTTCCTTTCTTTCTGTGCCCCCAAATGTTTGGATATACTGGTTACAGGTAGATAGCGAGCTAGCTAGCTAGCCAATGAGGTAACATGACTGAACAAAGTGTAAACAAATGGTTAACGACGCACAAGTAGTTTTAGAACCGCCCACAACATGGTTTATGAATGTAAAATGCGGTTCTGGTGATCCACTGTAGAAAGATAAAAATGTTGCGCCGGTAATATGTGTCAGATCTTTTGTTCTTTTTGGTGTAGTAATGACGCTAACGATTCTGCACTCACTTTTTTTCTCAAGGGCACTCGGAAACAACAGTACAGTGAAGCCTTATCATTACAACAATTATTATATGGGAGATTTCTTTCCTAGGCGCAATGTGCTCGTAAAATAAAACTCCTGGTCGCACAACAAAATATTTGGTCGCATATGCGACCAAAGTTGTCGCACTTTAGAGCCCTGCGCGCGCGCGCACACACACCGGCCTTCCAAGTGGGCCTGATTATTTAGCTATGCAGCATCATGCTATTATTAGGCTCGTTCGGCATCTCTTATTTAAACAAGCACAAGAAGAGCTGCTTAAAGATACTGCGCCCTTTGATACGACTGGAGGGAGAAGAACGTCCCTTTATCTCTGTCAGCTTGGTGGCTATTTTCAGACGTCACGGGTGTGTGTGACTGTGTGTGATGGTAATGGTATTTTGTGTTGCTGTCTGTAACATAGGCCAACTCGTGTTTACACACCCAACAAAACAAATTTAGTCAGAATTAGTGGTCTATTAAAATACCTGTAGTTATAAAATGAGTACTACTGTAGATGAGAACTAGAGGTGAATGCTGGAGAACTTATCACAGTATTACATCACGATTAGCAGTGGAGAAAATAAAGGCCTACGCTTGGGAATAGGATAGCAAAATCGCCACTCCCCCTTTCCCACCCTCAAAATAATAGCTGGCCTACCCCTACAGTTCCACTCTGTTGGCTTAGCTAGTGACTAGATGCAAGTCAATTCTTGGAACCGTTTTGTAAACTGCTTTAAAATATGGTAAAGTGGTCATAATAACAGTGTTTTTCCCCTATATGCATTTAGCAGCGGCGAAATTGAGGCCGCCACTGCAATTGTTATTTTTTTAAAATAAGGATAGATTTATGCCCCAGAAAGAACCCATCCTCTGCCCCCCTTCACTGTGAAAATGTATCTTTCCAGCTCCAGTTCAGGGACGTTTTTTTGTTAGATATTTAGTAGGGATGGGCATTTGAAAGAATGTCTGTTTGAGTACTCTCTCAAAAATCATTTTGAGTACTCTCATGTTAGCGTGAAACAGGGCTGAAGGGGAAAAAAGGTTTGCGGTATTTAGTGTTGTTCCTTTTACTGGTTGTTCTGATACAACTGAAAACAAAATGTAACAATTTTATTGCATTTCACATACTCCACAGGTAATAAGCACATCTTAGAGTTGGACATTTTGACAGTGTTTATAAATGTAACCTGCTAATTGAGTGGACATTTAGTATACTTTTATTTAGATTATTGGCAAACGAATACAAACCTTGAATCATGCCCATTCGTAATATCTAGAAACAATTCTGATTTACACTTTTGAAAGGAACAAAACTAAAATACATATTTGATTAATTAGGGACATTGACCATTTAGGCCTACAGAACACATGGTAAATGTAGCCACTGTGCAGGGTTTTCCCAAGGACAGTGACTGGGGACACTGCCCTGTAAAGGGTGCCGTCCTTTCAGTTGAGATGACAACCGATGTCCTTACAGATCCCATGGCACTTGCCACATTAGTAGGGGTTGGGTTGGGCCCCAATGTCCTGGGTTTTATACATTAGTGCAGACCAAGTTCAAGTAATCACTCCCTGTTTGAGTACGTTTTCTATTTGGTACCTAGTGAATAACACCCTGGCAAGATCCCCAACACAGCCTTTCTTGCCGTCCTGGCCAGTGGCCACCCCCAGGATGGCTGTAAATTAGAATGTGTTCTCAACCAAACTTGGTAAAAATAAGGGTCGAAATAGAAAATATCAGTCTGCACTAACTGCCCTAACACTAGGACACCTACAGGTGTGAAAACAAAACCAGCCAACTCACCTGGTCAAATAAAGGGTTGAATAAATGAATTAAATAAACTGTGGCATGACATCTACGTCTCTCTCCCCTTGTTTTAGATCTGTCCCGTAACCGTCTGCCAGAGCTGCCCGTGGAGGTGTGTACGTTTGTCTCTCTGGAACACCTGAACCTCTACCAGAACTGCCTGCGCTCGCTGCCTGAGAGTCTGCTCAATCTCCAGGCCCTCACCTACCTGAACATAAGGTAACGGGCGTGCACACACACACCAGTGGTGTAAAGTACTTAAAGTTGCACTATGCAGAAATTGCTCTGCCATTTCCTGGTTGCTAAAACTCGTTTGCATAATTTCAGTTTATTTGACAAAATAAGCTAGTATAGTGTAGGGCAGGGTTCCCCAGCTGGCGGCCAAATCTGGCCCACCAGCAATATGTTTTGGCCACTCAAATAATATTTTTTGTATTTTTGTTTTGTTTTATAATAATAATAATAATAATAATAATAATAATAATAATAATAATAATAAAAACATCTCGGACCCGAGATGCAAAAAGCCCCAAATGCAATGTCCCAAGAAGGAAGTTAGCCCACCTAAATAATGCAGAAGTTACATTTTAACTTCATTCATGAGAAGAGAGAATGCAGACAGTCAATTTAAAAAGCGGACCATTTTGTGGTGCTGAAATGTAAAGCTGCAACCGCAGCGCAATCAATAGGTGAACAACGCCTGGTGCTGAAAATATAGCTAACTTGTTATGCAAGTGGCGCACAGCAACCGATGTAGAAAACCTACACCAGTAGAGTAATTCATTGCAACAATAATCTTAATTTGACTTAACAAACAACAAGAGGGCTACAGTATAGTGTAGGCCTACAGTGAGGGAAAAAAAAGTATTTGATCCCCTGCTGATTTTGTATGTTTGCCCACTGACAAAGAAATTACCAGTCTATAATTTTAATGGTAGGTTTATTTGAACAGTGAGAGACAGAATAACAACAAAAAAATCCAGAAAAACGCATGTCAAAAATGTTATACATTGATTTGCATTTTAATGAGGGAAATAAGTATTTGACCCCTCTGCAAAACATGACTTAGTACTTGGTGGCAAAACCCTTGTTGGCAATCACAGAGGTCAGATGTTTCTTGTAGTTGGCCACCAGGTTTGCACACATCTCAGGAGGGATTTTGTTCCACTCCTCTTTGCAGATCTTCTCCAAGTCATTAAGGTTTCGAGCCTGACGTTTGACAACTCGTACCTTCAGCTCCCTCCACAGATTTTCTATGGGATTAAGGTCTGGAGACTGGCTAGGCCACTCCAGGACCTTAATGTGCTTCTTCTTGAGCCACTCCTTTGTTGCCTTGGCCGTGTGTTTTGGGTAATTGTCATTCTGGAATACCCATCCACGACCCATTTTCAATGCCCTGGCTGAGGGAAGGAGGTTCTCACCCAAGATTTGACGGTACATGGCCCTGTCCATTGTCCCTTTGATGCTGTGAAGTTGTCCTGTCCCCTTAGCAGAAAAACACCCCCAAAGCATAATGTTTCCACCTCCATGTTTGACGGTGGGGATGGTGTTCTTGGGGTCATAGGCAGCATTCCTCCTCCTCCAAACACGACGAGTTGAGTTGATGCCAAAGAGCTCCATTTTGGTCTCATCTGACCACAACACTTTCACACAGTTCTCCTCTGAATAATTCAGATGTTCATTGGTGAACTTCAGACGGGCCTGTATATGTGCTTTCTTGAGCAGGGGGACCTTGCGGGCGGTGCAGGATTTCAGTCCTTCACGGCGTAGTGTGTTACCAATTGCTTTCTTGGTGACTATGGTCCCAGCTGCCTTGAGATCATTGACAAGATCCTCCCATGTAGTTCTGGGCTGATTCCTCACCGTTCTCATGATTATTGCAACTCCACGAGGTGAGATCTTGTATGGAGCCCCAGGCCGAGGGAGATTGACAGTTCTTTTGTGTTTCTTCCATTTGCGAATAATCGCACCAACTGTTGTCACCTTCTCACCAAGCTGCTTGGCGATGGTCTTGTAGCCCATTCCAGCCTTGTGTAGGTCTACAATCTTGTCCCTGACATCCTTGGAGAGCTCTTTGGTCTTGGCCATGGTGGCGAGTTTGGAATCTGATTGATTGCTTCTGTGGACAGGTGTCTTTTATACAGGTAACAAACTGAGAATAGGAGCACTCCCTTTAAGAGTGTGCTCCTAATCCCAGTTTGTTACCTGTATAAAAGACACCTGGGAGCCAGAAATCTTTCTGATTAAGAGGCGGTCAAATACTTATTTCCCTCATTTAAAATGCAAATGAATTTATTTGATATTACACTGAAGATTATGGTCAATGGAACGCCTAAGAAGCCTTACACACCTGAACAGGCTGCTGCGTTTATTGACTCTCTCGGGTAAATAACTTTACACTGCGCCTTTGCAGCGTTGGATGACTTTATTCAAATCTGGTCATGAAGCAGTGATGTGAGTTCTCAAGTGCTCTTATTCAGTAAATGTTGTATTTTCTTTGCTACAGTAACTGCTGCCATAGCTCAGACCTGAGATCTGTGTGAATCTATATTGGTGCCCAGGCTTGGTGTCAATATTCTTTTATTGATTTTAATTTTCTTATGTGTAAATGGTGAGGCTATAGAGTGGTTATGCAGCCTTAAGATTCTACATTGGAGAGTTGAAATCCCCTGCAAGTTAGCTGGCGGGAAAAACCCCTTTGGAACTTCACATGTTTATTTTTCAGGTGTATTATAGTTCGGGTTCAGGATTCAAATAGTCTGTTTAGGCTTGGTGAAAATGGGGAGTTCAACACATGGGGAAAGGTACCACCTTATCTTTGCAGTAGGATTCAGTCTGTATATTGGTTGGTCAAAGTGCAATGGCAGGTAACAGACTGCGTTTATGTACATGGTACATTAGAGGGAGCCATAATCCTATTAAAAGGGTAAGAGTTCTATTTTTTTGAATTGTATGAAAGATACATTTGGTAGTTTTGTTATTAAGGGCAATAATTCATATTTACTTCCCCCCTGCCCACCCCCCTGATTTCCTCACTAAGGTATTTATAGACTTCTCAGAATTAAACTCAGATAATGCTGTGGTTGTTGGAGATTTTAATTGTTTGTTGAACCCCCTTATTGACAAGTTTCCCAGCAGCATAGCTTCACCCTCTCCTCAAGCTTGGTTGCTTAAAGCTATTTGTGATGATCTGGGGTGATGTGACTTTAACATTAATCTGAAGACTTATCTCTAACTAACTATGTTTAATTGTTACCCAATTTAAATTAATCATGTAACAATTAACTAATTAGGATCTGGGGCACCACGAGAGCGGTTCTTTAAAGAGTTACCATCTCCTGAATTAAACTCTAAAAGGTCTTTACCTATCACATCTATAAACAGTCAACTTATTAATCATAACCTCGTATCATATCATCATTCTGAACGTCGTAACCTCCTTGCATCTGCAGAAACACGAGCCTTACTTATGATTCAGTACTACACAAATTGTTTAATTATTTATTTACTAGCTAATTAAATGGGAACACAGGATAAACATACACACTCTGCACCGGTTATTGACTGGAGAAAACAGGTCCCTAGTGGAATGACAACAACATGGCTTGTTAAAGAAGAGAGGAAGAGGAAGAAAGAGAGGGACAGTGACACTTAATCTTGATACATTCAGAAACTACTCTAACCTACAGTAATTACATACTTGGCACACGAACCGCCGCCCGCTTTGAGTAAGAAAACATGGATGTATTTACGTGAAATGTCTTAATTAGCCAGGGATCTCTCGGTGAACCGGGCCGCCTTGGAAAGGGGTTGGGTCTTTCCGCGGCATGCTTGCAAGGCTCTTCTTGTCCAAAATGGTTCATAATGTCTTTCTTCGTAGTTGTCCGGTCTCCAATGATTTGTCATGTAGTCCTGAACAGAACTACATAATTGATTTTCCTTCCCATCGCTCTGGAAGTTGCTTCTTTGAAGATAGGCTAGCCAGCCGTATCGATGGTGGGGTGATTAGAGTAGCGTAATACAATGAGTTGAGCAGAGTAATAGGATGGGCCTACTTAAATTCGCTTTAGAAGATACTTTACTTAGGACAGCTAATCAGTTGTACCAGTGATTTGTCCAGGAGGTGAGTTTTCCTTCTCCACCTCGTGTTGCAATTCAGAATTCTAACCATTTTAAATGTGTAGCTGCCGCTTTCACGTTTTCTGGTCTGATATGTTAATTCATAACCCATCCTTTTATACACTCTGCTCGAAAGGGCCGGTTCCGTCAGGCTGACACGATCTCTGACCTCACTCGGGGGCGAGACTATTTACTGTGCAAAGCTTAAGGAAAACAATTATCTCTTATAGCGTTCTCAAATCACATCCCTATCCCTCTGTGGGTGAGAGGGGGGTCTGGTTGAAGTTATTCATTGGAAACCTGATCTGACCTATTTGGATCCTCACAGGACAGTCATGACAGGGGTATGCTGATGTCTGGAGAACCCAACAGAGAATTGACCTTTTTCTCTGCACCCCATGGATGTCAGACTAGAATAGATTACTTTTTTTATGCCCAGGACGTCTTTGCAGTCTGTTTTCTCTGCTAATATAGGAAGCATAGTCATATCTGATCACGCTGAGTTGATCCTGGACATAAAACTCAAAGGGACACCCAATCCATCAAGACACTGGAGACTGAATAAAACCATTCTTAAAAACCATACATTTACATCATATTTTATCACAAAGTTTAAAGCATTTTTCTCTAACTCTCAATCCACAGATAACCCCTCGCTTCTTTGGGAAACCTGTAAAGCGTACGCCAGAGGTCTAATTATGTCATACTCAGCCACTAAGAGGCGGAAAAAACTTGAAAAGCAAAAAACATTAGAGGATGAATTGGCAACTAAAGAGAAGGATTACATTAAAATTCCCACTCCTGCCCTATTAAAGGAAATATCAGTCCTTAGATCAACGTTGGACTCTCTCCTAAGAAAATGAGATTTGTCAGGCAAAAGCTTTATGAACATGGCGATAAACCAGGAAAATATTTGGCGTACCTAGCTAAAAAGAAAGCAGACTCCCAGTCAATTGCCAATATTAATGATTCTGATGGCAACCATTTATATGAAAACAAATGGATAAATTTGTCATTTAACAAATGTTATGCAAATATTTATGCCTCAGAATGGACAAATGATGCACCCAAACTAATGGAGGACTTATTTTCTAAGATTGAGCTCCCGACTATTTCAGAGGTCTCTCCATAATGCCCCTATTACCAAAGAAGAGATAATGTTTGCTATTGAGGATCTGCAAAATGGTAGGGCCTCAGGACCGGACAGGTTTTGTAGTGAGTTCTATAAGGAGTTCCAAAGCCTGATCCTTGAGCCATTGCTTGATATGTTTAACCACTCATTTTCAAATGACCACCTCCCTCAAACTCTGAGGGAAGCTAACGATCACTTATTCTCAAAAAGGGAAAATGCCCAGAGTCTTGTTCCTCGTACAGACCTTGTTGCCCTTCTGAACGTGGATAGAAAATTGCTTTCTAAAATCCTAGCCACACAACTAGAGAACTTATTGCAAACTGGCTTCATTTAAGGGCCGTAACTCATGTAATAATGTCAGGCGGCTTCTTAATGTTATTCAAGCCTACCAACAAAGGATACTAAGTTCAAATAACTTATCCACACACAGAGGTACCAGACAGGGCTGTCCTTTGTCCCCTCTCCTATTTGCGCTCGTTATGGAACCGCTGGCAGAGGCCATCAGAGTAACGCCTGCTATACAGGGTCTGCTAATTGTTGATGTTCATCATAAAATAAGCTTGTATGCTGATGATGTTTTGATATTCATCTCTAGCCCCGAGATTTAAATTACATCTCTTGTTAATATTATTGAATTATTCAGTGTATTCTCAGGCTACAAGATTCATTTAAGTAAAACAGAGGCTATGGCACATTCTTAAACAGATCAGTTCTACAAAGTGTGGGAACCTTATTTGAATTACCTAGAACCTGATTTATCAGCTTTCATGCTGCAAGGATTTTCTTAGAATGGTGTTTACTTGTCTCAGGATTACACTGTACGTTCCATGTGTTGGACCTAATTCCTTTATTTAAACTGAGTTTCTGTGTTTAATTTCTGTTTGTTTGTTTAATTTGTATTTTCTTTGTCATTCTTCTTTTATCTTTGTTACCGTATCTCTTAATGTGGGAGAAAATTTGTGAAATTCCAATAGAAATACTACTAACAAATATATAAATAACGGACATATACACACAACTGTGCTACATCGGTGTTGTCAGTACTCTCGTCAATAGCCAGGGATAAATGCTTAGCCTGATTGAACCTCTCCAGAACAATCCTATGCACATCATCCGCCAGTGCATGGACGCGGCGGCCGGCTGTTGACGCAGACGGGGGCACCTGTTTGACAAACGCAATTATGCTATCCATAGACTTGTCGGTAGCCTCCAAAGCTGTCACCATGCACTTTTTAAATACCTCCGCGTCTGTGAAGGGCATGTTGTTTGGTTAGAACCCAGGACACTTTTAGGGAGGCACTTGTGACCTTCTGTTGTTGGGTCAGGCCACGAAGGAGGATTCTGCTTCCGTGTGTTAACGCTTACATTTTTCTGGGTCAGGCCTCTGTCTGGGGCGGGAAGACCACTTTGAAAGTACCATGCTTAGATTCAGTGACGTATGAGATTGAATTCTTCACAAACAAATACAGTTTCGTTGCAAATAAGACACACTGGCTTGGCATTGGAGAACGGTGGTAAGATTAATGCATATCTCTCTGTCTATTCTTCCCTGAAACTTAGATTTTTATTATCCACCTTTTGATACTTTTTGAGTGACATTTCCTCTTGCTAGCAAGCTAATTGTTCTGAACGAATGTTGACGTTAAAAAATTTATTGTAGCCTACAGTAGACCTGTTTTCCCCCACCAATCAACGCACAGCGAAATAGACAAAAATAATAATTGAATAGAAGAGACAATGATTTTATGAGTGTAATCATTATGCTATTGGCATTGAATGTATTATGTACTAGGCAGATGCGTAAAAAATGTTCAATTTGTAGTGTAGGCCTATTGTGCTAATATTATATGCTAGTAATGTTCTGGCCCGCCGACTATTAGCTCAGAAAAAATTTGGCCCGAGGCCAAACCTAGTTGATGAACGAACCCTGGTGTAGAGAATCATTGTACCATCTAAACCACTGTGAAATACACTATATATACAAATGTATGTGGATACCCCTTCAAATGAGTGGATTCGGATATTTCAGCCACACCCGTTGCAGACAGGTGTCTAAAAGCACACAGCCATGTAATCTCCATAGACAAACATTGGCAGTAGAATGGCCTTATTGAAGAAGTCAGTGACTTTGAACGTGGCACCGTCATAGGATGCCACCTTTCCAACAAGTCAGTTTGTAAAATGTCTGCCCTGCTAGAGCTGCCCCGGTCAACTGTAAGTGCTGTTATTGTGAAGTGGATACGTTTAGGAGCAACAATGGCTCAGCCGCGAAGTGGTAGGCCACACAAGCTCACAGAATGGGACCACCGAGTGCTGATGCGCGTAGCGCATAAAAATCATCTGTCCTCGGTTGCAACACTCACTACTGAGTTCCAAACTGCCTCTGGAAGCAACGTCTGCACAATAACTGTTCGTCGGGAGCTTCATGAAATGGGTTTCCATGGCCAAGCAGCCGCACACAAGCCTAAGTTCACCATGCGCAATTCCAAGCGTTTGCTGGTGTGGTGTAAAGCTCGCCGCCATTGGACTCTGGAGTGATGAATCACGCTTTACCATCTGGCAGTCCAACAGACTAATCTGGGTTTGGCAGATGCCAGGAGAACGCTACCTGCCTCAATGCATAGTGCCAACTGTAAAGTTTGGTGGAGGAGGAATAATGGTCTGGGGCTGTTTTTCATGTTTCGGGCTAGGCCCCTTAGTTCCAGTGAAGGGAAATCTTAACGCGACAGCATACAATGACATTCTAGACGATTCTGTGTTTCCAACTTTGTGGCAACAGTTTGGAGAAGGCCTTTTCCTGATTCAGCATGACATTGCCCCCGTGCACAAAGCGGGGTCCATAAGGAAATGGTTTGTCGAGATCGGTGTGGAAGAACTTGACTGGCCTGCACAGAGCCCTGACCTCAACCCCATCAAACACCTTTGGGATGAATTGGAACGCCGACTGCGAACCAGGCCTAATCGCCCAACATCAGTGCCCGACCTCACTAATGCTCTTGTGGCTGAATGGAAGCAAGTCCCCGCAGCAATGTTCCAACATCTAGTGGAAAGCCTTCCCAGAAGTGTGGACTCTGTTATAGCAGCAAAGGGGGGACCGACTCAATATTAATGCCCATGATTTTTGGAATGAGATGTTTGACAAGCAGGTGTCCACATACTTTTGGTCATCTAGTGTATATTTTCCATAACCAAAAATATTGTTGTTTCAGCTGTTTGAAGCTGGTGTACAAAACCGAAAGTAAGACACAAAAACAACTTGAGGACGGGAATCATATAAATAGCACACTCAGAACATATCTACTGCTTCTTAGACTTACTTTCAAGCAGAAATGGTAGAGCTATAACTCACATTTAATGTGAATTTGGTCGGGTCGTCCAAAAAGTGACATATTGCCACTTTAAGTAATTTTTGGGGGTATCTGTACTTTAGAAAATATGTACTTTTTACTCCCATACATTTTCCCTGACACCCAAAAGCGCTCGTTGCATTTCAATTCAAATCAAATTGTATTTGTCACAAGCGCCAAATACAACAGGTGTAGACCTTACAGTGAAATGCTTACTTACAAGCCCTTAACCAACAATGGAGTTTTAAGAAAGAATACTACAAAAAATAAAATAAAAAGGAACAAATATCTATGCACCTATGAATATAACACGTTGTCATTCCTACTGCCTCTGATCTGACAGAATCACTTAACACAAATACTGTGTTTGTAAATTATGTGGGATTGTCAGTGTGCCCCTGTCTGTCCGTAAATAAAAATAAACAAAAGAACATTGTGCTGTCTGGTATACTTAATTTAAGGAATTTGATGAATGGCTTTTACTTTGTACTTTTATTCAAGTATGACAGTTGAGTACTTTTTCGACCACTGTACTTAAGTACATTTAAAACCAGATACTTTTTAGACTTTTACTTAAGCAGTGCTTTACTGGGTGACACTCACTTTTACTTGAGTCATTTTCTATTACTTTTACTCAAGTATGACAGTTGAGTACTTTTTCCACCACTGACACACACACTCACAGGCCATAGGATACACACACAGTAGAGTAAATACTGATGTACACATCTATTTACAAATTTGACATTACACTTGTACACTTAACCGTAGAAAGACGGCCTATGCATGCATACTACACACACCCGTGTGATGCCTAAAACAGATGGTCTGCATCCCAAAGGTACCCTATTCCCTATATAGTGCCCCGGTCCAGTAGTGCACTAAATAGGGAATAGTGTGCCATTTGGAACAACACCCATGTTCATTCATAAACAAAGATTAAAGCAGTGCTCTGTTTTGGGAATGGAGAAACGTCACAGCAAATCTGATAAACAAACAGGATTGAAAGATATATGGTCTGTAACATCAACCTGTTTTGTAGGAAGTATTCCCAGACAATGGCAATAGAATGTCAAGAACGTGGTCCTCTGTAGCTCAATTGGTAGAGCAATGGTGCTTGTAACGCCAGGGTAGTGGGTTCGATCCCCAGGACCACCCATACGTAAACATTTATGCACACATGACTGTAAGTCGCTTTGGATAAAAGCGTCTGCTAAATGGCATATTATATTATTATTATTAACATTGTTGAACATTGTGACTTACTTTGTTTGATAATATTCAACAACATTTGCCATCTTGCAAGTATACATATGAAAACATCCACCATCACAACTATTTGAATTTGAATGGAGACATGAATTTACTAAGGCTTCAGTCAAAAACGTCTCTTACATTTTCTCTCTCCTCTCTCGTCTGTCTTTCTTTCATCCGGATTTCAGTCGAAACCAGTTGTTGACCCTGCCCAGCCCGGTGTGTAGTCTGCCGTTGAAAGTCCTGATCGCCTGTAACAACAAGCTGGTCTCCCTTCCCGAAGAGCTGGGCCAACTACTACAGCTCACAGAACTGGTCAGTACAGGCCAATACAGACAGACATACACAGCTGCGGCTTAATTGGCCGTGGGTATCGGCTGTGTGTTGTTTTAGTGTCAAAACCAACATGTTGATTTGTCAGTTATTGTAGTCTTTGTGTTGTGTCTTTGTGTTGTGTTGTGGTTTGATTACCGTTTAACCAGGGCGTCATCTTCCTCTACTCTCCTTCTCTCTCCTCATCCCCATGTACAGGACGTGAGTTGTAATGAGATCCAGACACTCCCTCCTCAGGTTGGTCGGCTGGACTCGCTGCGAGACCTCAACATCCGCCGCAATCACCTGGCCCGCTTGCCCCCAGGTCAACACACACACTCAACCACCTGGCCCGCGTTGGTCAACACACACACACACACACACACACACACAAAACCATCTGGACCACACACATCAGTATATTTTGAATAAAAATGTTGAAGACCACAATTACTGGATTAGATCAATCTGGCGTGTTAGAGCTTGACAACACACACGGGGGGAATTATATTTGTTAAAATGTTACCCAAATTTAACCCCCCTTTTTTTGGCACTAAACTACGTCCATTTACACTGAGTAAACAAAACATTAAGAGCCTCTGCTCTTTTTATGACATGGACTGACCAGGTGAATCCAGGTGAAATCTATGATCCCTTATTAATGTCACTTGTTAAATCCACTTCAATCAGAGTAGGATGAAGGGAAGGAGACATGTTAAAGAAGGATTTTTAAGCCTTGAGACAATTGAGACATGGATTGTGTATGTGTGCCATTGAGGGTGAATGGGCAAACAAAATATTTAAGTGCGTTTTGAACGGGGTATGGTTGGTAGGTAGGTGCCAGGCGTACCGTTTTTTGTGTCAAGAACTGCAATACTGCTGGGTTTTTAACACTCCACAGTTTCCCGTGTGTATCAATGTTCCACCACCCAAAGGACATCCAGCCAACTTGGAGTCAACATGGGCCGGCATCCCTGTGGAACGCTTTCAACACCTTGTAGAGTCCATGCCCTGACGAATTGAGGTTGTTCTGAGGGCAAAACGGGTGGCGCAATATTAAGGTGTTCCTAATGGTTGGTATACTCAGTGTATACTTGCATAATTTTTTTAAAACTGTTACCGGGCTACCTTCAGATGAGTCTTGTGGGCGTCCTAGAGCAAAACACCTTTCCATAGAGGGGTCATATAGTGTGTAGCCCAAACTCTTAGGACGCTACAGACTGAAGTTGGCGGTGGATTGAGACGTTGCCCATGCAAAAAAACAGATGTCTCTAGCTTAAACAGGCTTATTTTTTATGATTATGCTAATTAGATTTCCGCGGGGCGCGGCCATCGACTCTAGGGGATTAAAGTTAAACTGTCTGTATCCTATGTCCATACAGAGCTGTCTGAGTTGCCCCTGGTGCGTCTGGACTTCTCTTGTAACAAGGTGACGTCTATCCCTGTGTGTTACCGCAACCTGCGCCACCTACAGAGCATCGCGCTGGACAACAACCCACTACAGAACCCACCCGCACAGGTAACTCACACGCGCACAGTCTGACTATACAATCACGACTATACAAACACTTTTTGCTCCTAGTCAGTGACTAGGAAACACACAAACTCTCAGCCTGACTATACAATTATGTCCTGCACCACACAAATGTGTTAAATAGAACCTAGTCAAACTGTTCCTTCTATTGTCTATCATGTGTTTCTTTCCCTATCATTCCCAGATTTGTATAAAGGGGATGATCCATATATTTAAGTACCTGAACAATGAGGCCAGCAAGACTACGCCTGAGCTCCCAGACTACGACAGGAGACCCCTCCCCTTCGGATCCTGGTGAGACACACACACGTACGCTTCCACTGCCAATAATAAGGCAGAGAGGCCAGCCCTGGAAACAGCTGTGTGCAGAGGAACAGCTGGAGAGAGGCAGAAAGAGTCTCCCTGCTCCTGTCTTTCTCTGTCAGTGTCTCTACTTTTATCTCTCCCTCACTCAATATTGATATTTTCTGCTCTACAATATCTCTTGCTTTCTCAGAGCCCTCTGTAAATGTTCAAAGCTACTCTACAAGAAACTGTCCAGAGTTTGGTGAGGAGAGGTAGAAATTGAGATAAATGGGAAGTGAGGGAGTGTTAAAAAGAAAAGGTAGAAAGTACATTCAATACCCCATAATGACAAAGCGAAAACAGGTTTTTAGACTTATGCAAATGTATTACAAATAAAAAACAGAAATACTTGATTTACATAAGTATTCAGACCCTTTGCAATGAGACTCGAAATTGAGCTCAGGTGCATCCTGTTTCCATTTATCATCCTTGAGATGTTTCTACAACTTGGAGTCCACCTGTGGTAAATTCAATTGATTGGGACATGATTTGGAAAGGCACACACCTGTCTATATAAGGTCCCACAGTTGACAGTGCATGTCAGAGCAAATATCAAGCCATGAGGTCGATGGAATTGTCCGTAGAGCTGGGGAAGGTTACCAAAAAACGTATGCAGCATTGAAGGTCCCCAAGAACACAGTGGCCTCCATCATTCTTAAATGGAAAAAGATTGGACCCACTTAGACTCTTCCTAGAGCTGGCCGCCCGGCCAAACTGAGCAATCGGGGGAGAAGGGCCTTGGTCACTCTGACAGAACCTTCTAGAAGGACAATAATCTCTGCAGCACTCCACCAATAAGGCATTTATGATAGAGTGGCCAGATGGAAGCCCCTCCTCAGGCTCTGGCTGGGCCACTCAAGGACATTCACAGACTTGTCCCGAAGCCACTCCTGCGTTGTATTGGCTGTGTGCTTAAAGTTGTTTTCCTGTTGGAAGGTGAGCCTTCACCCCAGTCTGCGGTCCTGAGCGCTCTCGAGCAGCTTTTCATCAAGGATCTCTCTGTACTTTGCTCCGTTCATCTTTGCCTTGATCCTGACTAGTCTTACAGTCCCTGCCGCTGAAAAACATCCCCACAGAATGATGCTGCCACCACCGTGCTTCACCGTAGGGATGGTGCCAGGTTTCCTCCAGACGTGACGCTTGGCATTGAGGCCAAAGAGTTCAATCTTGGTTTCATCAGACCAGAGAATCTTGTTTCTCATGGTCTGAGAGTCCTTTAGGTGCCTTTTGGCAAACTCCAAGCGGGCTGACATGTGTCTTTTACTGTGGAGTGCCTTTTCCTGAGCAGTGGCTTCCGTCTAGCCACTCTACCATAAAGGCCTGATTGGTGGAGTGCTTCAGAGATGTTTGTCCTTCTGGAAGGTTCTCCCATCTCCACAGAGATTTACATTAATACTTATGTAAATAAGGTATATCTGTTTTTTATTTTTTATACATTTGGAAAAAATTCTACAAACCTGTTTTCGCTTTGTCATTATGGGGTATTGTGTGTAGATTCAGGAACATTTTTTATTTAATCCATTTTAAAATAAGGCTGTAACATAACAAAATGTGGAAAAAGGGAAGATGTCTGAATACATTCCGAATGCACTGTATTCATACACTCACATATAGATACTGCCACTGTCCCCATACTCCTAGACACACACGGTACCTGGGTCAAGTACTTCCTTGATTTAGCTTGGAATTTGCACATGTGAGACAGTTATTTTGTACTGCAACTCACTGAATTGCTTTGTTTCAAATGATTGTGTTTTGCTTTTGGTGTTTTGTTTGCTTTTCATATATTGTGAAATTGATGTGTATATGCAGGACTCATCTGCAAAAGAGACCGTGGTCTCAGCATGACTCCCTGCTTAAATGAAGGTTAAATAAAATAAAATAAATCACAGCTTAAGTGTTTGATATCATTTGACGTTGTGTTTTGACCCACTCCTTGTTCCCAAGGTGGTCTAAAAGTTGATCTTATCTTCTGTACTCTTAGTGTGGAGGAGCTGTACCCTGGCCGGCCGTACGGAGCGCTGGACTCTGGCTTCAACAGCGTGGACAGTGGAGACAAGAGATGGTCAGGCAATGAGGTGAGACGCGCACACACACACACACACACACACACACACACACACACACACACACACACACACGGTCAGACAACTAGGTAAGATTAGAAATAACTCTGGGTCCTCCTAGTAATTGTTGGGTAATTCCATGAATATAGTACATTTTGGGTATTGTAACTTGGTAAAAAAATATTATAATTTCACATACTTTTAGGAAGGGGTTAAATAAAAAGTACTATAGTAAGTGCCAATAAAGTGAAGCGTGTTGTGTGCAACAGGGAGGGACAATTAAATGCAAGCTTCACATAAAAATGTACATCGTTAAAGAATTTCTAGCCTATCTTTCTATGGGTAACAGGGTTGACGTTTTATGCTCAACAGGCTCAGTTTTCTACCACAAAATTGCCAGAAAGAGTAGAACCAGCTCACCTGCTTTTACTCTGTGATGTTAATATTATATGTTCAATGTTTATTAATAGTTTCACCATATTAAAACGAGATTTCAGTTCACGTAACAGGGTTGACCTTAAAGTGGAACTGACAGCATTTTAGCCACATTAAATCTTATAAAAATCTGTTCATATACACCTACCAGTCCAAAGTTTGGACACACCTACTCATTCAAGGGTTTTTCTTTATTTTCACTATTTTTTATATTGTAGAACAATAGTGAAGATGTCAAAACTATGAAATAACACATATGGAATCATGTAGTAAACAAAAAGTGTTAAACAAATCAAAGTATATTTTATATATTGAGAATCTTCAAATAGCTACACTTTGCCTTGATGATAGCTTTGCACACTCTTGGCATTCTCTCAACCAGCTTCACCTGGAATGCTTTTCCAGCAGTCTTGAAGGAGTTCCCACATATGTTGAACACTTGTTGGCAGCTTTTCCTTCACTCTGCCGTCCGACTCATCCCAATCCATCTCTAATTGGGTTGAGGTCGGGGGTTTGTGGAGGCCAGGTCATCTAATGCAGCACTCCATCGCTCTCCTTCATGGTAAAATAGCCCTTACACAGCCTGGAGGTGTGTTGGGTCATTGTCCTTTTGAAAAACAAATGATAGTCCCACAAAGCCCAAACCAGATGGGATGGAATATCGCGGTAGAATGCTGTGGTAGCCCTGCTGGTTAAGTGTGCCTTGAATTCTAAAGAAATCACTGACAGTGTCACCAGCAAAGCACCCCCACACCATAACACCACCTCCTCCATGCTTTACGGTGGTAAATACACATGCGGAGATCATCCGTTCACCCACACCACGTCTCACAAAGACACAGCGGTTGGAACCAAAAATCTCAAATTTGGACTCCAGACCAAAGGACACATTTCCACCGGTCTCATGTCCATTGCTCATGTTTCTTGGTCCAAGCAGGTCTCTTCTTTGTATTGGTGTCCTTTAGTAGTGGTTTCTTTGCAGCAATTCGACCATGAAGGCCTGATTCACACAGTCCCCTCTGAACAGTTGATGTTGAGATGTGTCTGTTACTTGAACTCTGTGAAGCATTTATTTGGGCTGCAATTTCTGAGGCTGGTAACTAATGAACTTATCCTCTGCAGCAGAGTTAACTCTGCGTCTTCCATTCCTGTTGCGGTCCTCATGAGAGCCAGTTTCATCATAGCGCTTGATGGTTTTTGCGACTGCACTTGAAGAAACTTTCAAAGTTCTTGAAATGTTCTGTGTTGACTGACCTTCATGTCTTAAAGTAATGATGGACTGTCGTTTCTCTTTGCTTATTTGAGCTGTTCTTGGTCTTTTACCAAATAGGGCTATCTTCTGTATACCACCCCTACCTTGTCACAACACAACTGATTGGCTCAAAAGCATTAAGAAGGAAAGAAATTACACAAATTAACTTTTAAGAAGGCACACCTGTTAATTGATTTGCATTCCAGGTGACTACCTCATGAAGCTGGTTGAGAGAATGCCAATAGTGTGCAAAGCTGTCATCAATACAAAGGGTGGCTATTTGAAGAATCTCAAATATAAAATATATTTTGATTTGTTTAACACATTTTTGGTTACTACATGATTCCATATGTGTTATTTCATAGTTTTGATGTCTTCACTATTATTCTACAATGTAGGAAATAGTAAAAATAAAGAAAAACCCTTGAATGAGTAGGTGTTCTAAAACTTTTGACCGGTAGTGTAAATAAATATGCTAGCCTATTGCTAGTCTGATTGTATTGACATTCCCAGTCTTAGTTACATTTGTCATTTTTGTCCAAAATATTGAGTCATTGAAACTGAAACAGTGCATCCCGAATGGAGGCAGCAAGCAATGTACCAGGACTGCTGTGATTTTACAACCTGACTGCAATATTTTTTGGACTACCAAGAAATATATTAATCATGCATTGAATTGCATTAATCTATTCTGCCAACAATGCCTTAGCGTACGTCATGGAATGTTGAGTCAAATATAACCTATTTTTAAAACCTCTTATAAAGTTGGTTTTGTAGCATAAACTGGGAATTTGATATTTTTGACTGATGTTATGATTGTCTGTTTATTTCATATCTGCAAAGTAGTTAAAACGCTTTCAGTTCCACTTTAAAATAAGGGACAGACGTAAATTAATCACAGTAAATAAATAATAGTCCCAAGTAGCTCAGTTGGTAGAGCATGGCGCTTGCAACGCCAGGGTTGTGGGTTCGTTTCCCACGGGGGGCCAGTATGAAAATGTATGCACTCTGGATAAGAGCGTCTGCTAAATTACTAAAATGTAAATGTAAAATAAAAATCTTCAGAAATGACTGTCAAAGCAAGAACATTTACAATGATGGTAAATCTTTACCACTGGCACTGAGTAAAGCCTGTGTGTATGAATGCTGATAAATCAACGTTATACACGTCAGTTTTAGAATGTGAGGCAACTAATAAGCTAGCACTAAATATTTCAAAAACTGAAAGCATTATATTTGGGACAAACCGTTCACTTAACCCGAAACCTCAACTAAATCTTGTAATGAATAATATGGAAATTGAGCAAGTTGAGTGGACAACTGCGTGGTGTAACCCTGGATTGTAAACTGTCATGGTCAAAACATTTGATGCAACGGTAGCTAAGATGGGGAGAGGTCTGTCCGTACAGCCTTATTCTAAAATGTATTAAAAAACAAAAACAGAAATACCTTTATTGTAGAAACATAAGTATTCAGACCCTTTTCTATGAGACTTGAAATTGAGCTCAGGTGCATCCTGTTTCCATTGGTCATCCTTGATGTTTTTACAAATTGATTTGAGTCCACCTTTGGTAAATTAAATCGATGGACATTTGTAAAGGCACACACCTGTCTATATAAGGTCCCACAGTTGACAGTGCATGTCAGAGCAAAAACCAAGCCATGAGGTCGAAGGAATTGTCCGTAGAGCTCCGAGACAGGATTGTGTCGAGGCACAGTTCTGGTAAAGGGTACCAAAAAATGTCTGCAGCATTGAAGGTCCCCAAGAACACAGTGGCCGCCTCCATTCTTAAATGGAAGAAGTTTGGAACCACCAAACTGAGCAATCGGGGGAGAAGGGCCTTGGTGAAGGCGGTTACCAAGAACCCGATGGTCACTATGACAGAGCTCCAGATTTCCTCTGTGGAGATGGGAGAACGTTCCAGAAGGACAACCATCTCTGCAGCACTCCACCAATCAGGCCTTTATGGTAGAATGGCCAGACGGAAGCCACTCCTCAGTAAAAGGCACCTGACAGCCCGCTTGGAGTTTGCCAAAAGGCACCTAAAGGACTCTAAGAGCATGAGAAGTAAGACTCTCTGGTCTGATGAAACCAAGATTGAACTCCTTGGCCTGAAAGCCAAGTGTCACGTCTGGAGGAAACCAGGCACAGCTCATCACCTGGCCAATACCATCCCAACGGTGAAGCATGGTGGTGGCAGCATCATGCTGTGGGGACGTTTTTCAATAGCAGGGACTGGGAGACTAGTCACGATCCTTGATGAAAACCTGCTCCAGAGCGCTCAGGACCTCAGACTGGGGCGAAGGTTCACCTTCCAACAGGACAACAACCCTAAGCACACAGCCAAGACAATGCATGAGTGGCTTCGGGACAAGTCTTAATGTCCTTGAGTGGCCCAGCCAGAGCCCGGACTTGAACCCGATCGAACATCTCTGGAGAGACCTGAAAATAGCTGTGCAGCGACGCTCCCCATCCAACCTGACAGAGCTTGAGAGGATCGGCATAGACAAATGGGAGAAACTCCCCAAATACTGGTGTGCCAAGCTTGTAGCGTCATACCCAAGAACACTCAAGGCTGTAATTGCTGCCAAAAGTACTTCAACAAAGTACTGAGTAAAGGGTCTGAATACTTATTTAAATGTGATATTTCATTTTATTATTATTATTTTTATGCAAAATTCTGGGGTATTATGTGTAGATTGATGGATAATAAAAAAAACTAAAACAATTTTAGAATAAGGCTATAACGTAACAAAATGTGGAAAAGGTGAAGGGGGCTCTGAATACTTTCCAAATGCACTGTATACCCAATTATTTGCGCTCTGTTTTTGAATTGGCATGTTGCAGATGCTATGTAACTGTGTAAGTAAGTTGCACTGTGTATTTACACATAATTACACTGTATAAGGTTCTTAGTGCGTCCCAAATGACAGACCGACTGAGTTCCAAGCGGTCAAAACCATTAGATTTTGAGACGGGGGTGTCACCAAAGCTGTGATGTCGCTAATGTCGTAGCTAATTGTCAAAGATGCATTATGTTGCAGTACAAGCTCAAAACTTTTAACAAAAATGACAATTATGACAGTAACTGTGGTAATTTACATGACAATTAGTCATTATCCAAAATTCCATAGTCCTCACAGCCGTCACCACACACACACACACACGTCACAGGTATCATGAATGGCAACAAAGAGCAATCACAAAGGTTCTATGATTGCAAGGTAGTGTCATATTTCAGACTTATGTAGAAGCTAATCTCTCCATTCATGTGTTTCTTCCACTCCTATTCATTTTCTCTTTCATTCCTTCTTTACCTACAGCCCACGGATGAGTTGTCGGACCTGCCACTGCGTGTGGCAGAGATCACCAAAGAACAGAGACAGCGGCGGGAGAGGGAGGAGCATAGGACGACTGGCTCCCATCCTGTGACCAATGGCACATGTGAGAATCAACAAATGTCTGTTTGTGTGTGTGAACTGAACTGTATTGTACTGTGTTTACAGTATTATTCACAGTATTATTCAATTGTATTCTAGCTTGGGTACCAGTCTGTTGGTTTGAGCTTTTCCCTCCCTGACACACTGTTTGGCATATGAGAAGAGGTACAAGGAGTGGAATGTTAGCCCAAAACGGGCCTGGATTTCAGGCTGATTATAGTCTACATCTGTGGAAATATACGCTGAACAAAAATATAAACGCAATAAGCCATGTTTCATTTTCCATACGCACAAAAAGCTTATTTCTCTCCAATGTTGTGCACAAATTTGTTTACATCCCTGTTCGTGAGCATTTCTCCTTTGCCAAGATAATCCTTCCACTTGAGAGGTGTGGCATATCAAGAAGCTGATTAAACATCATTACACAGGTGCACCTTGTGCTGGGGAACAATTTAAAATGCCACTCTAAAATGTGTCGTTTTGTCACAACAAAGCCACAGATGTCTTGAAGGAGCATAGAATTGGCATGCTGACTGCAGGAATGTCCACCAGAGCTGTTGAAGGAGAATTTAATGTTAATATCTCTACCATAAGCCGCCTCCAATGTCGTTTTAGAGAAATAGGCAGTATGTCCAACCGGCCTCACAACCGCAGACCACGTGTAACCACGCCAGCCCAGGACCTCCACATCCGGCTTCTTCACCTTCACCTGAGACCAGCCACCTGGACAGCTGATGAAACTGTGGGTTTGCAGAACTGAAGAATTTCTTCACAAACTGTCAGAAACCGTCTCAGGAAAGCTAATCTGCGTGCTCGTCGTCCTCACCAGGGTCTTGACATGACTGCGGTTCGGCATCGTAACCGACTTCAGTGGGCAAATGCTCACCTTCGATGGCCACTGGCACGCTGGAGAAGTGTGCTCTTCACGGATGAATCCCGGTTTCAACTCTACCGGGCAGACGGCGTATGGCGTCGTATGGGCGAGCGGTTTGGTGACGTCAACGTTGTGAACAGAGTGCCCCGTGGTGGTGGGGTTATGGTATGGGGAGGGAAAAGCTACGGACAACGAACACAATTGCATTTTATCGATGGCAATTTCAATGCACAGCGATACCATGACGAGTTCCTGAGGCCCATTGTCATGCCATTCATCCGCCGCCATAACCTCATGTTTCAGCATGATAATGCATGGCCCCATGTCGCAAGGACCTGTACACAATTCCTGGAAGCTGAAAATGTCCCAGTTCTTCCATGGCCTGCATACTCACCAGACATGTCACCCGCTGAGCATGTTTGGAATGCTCGGGGTCGACGTGTACGACAGTGTACCAGTTCCTGCCAATATTCAGCAATTTTGCACAGCCATTGAAGAGGAGTGGGACAACATTACACAGGCCACAATCAACAACCTGATCAACTCTATGCGAAGGAGATGTCGCACTGCATGAGGCAAATGGTGCCCACACCAGATACTGACTGGTTTTCTGATCCACGGCCCTACTTTTTTTTTTTTTTAAGGTATCTGTGACCAACAGATGCATATCTGTATTCCCAGTCGTGAAATCCATAGATTAGGTCCTAATGAATTTATTTCAACTGACTGATTTCCTTATATAAGTCTTTGAAATTGTTGCATATTTTTGTTCAGTGTATATTCTACATCTTGCGTCTCTTTACTCTGAACTGGTGTGTAATCTGTCTTTCTGTCTTGTGTCTCTCTATCAATCTGTCTGTAGTAGAGGCAGAGCTGGAGCAGATAGACTTCATTGACAGCTGTACAGGAGAGGAGGAGGAGGAGGAGGGTAGGCGAGGAGAAGTAGCAGCAACCATCAGCCTCAGCTCCCAGTTCATGGCTTACATTGAGCGCCGCATCACCAGAGAGGTAAGTGTTTTATTTGTGTGTGTGATATAAAATATAATTTATGCCATTCAGCAAGCCATTTTACATTTTTGCATACATTTTTGTATGGGTTGCCCCAGTGGGAATCACTCACACCCGTACAAGTGCCATGATCTGCCAACTGAACTAACTGTGTGTGTGTTCATGAGTGTGCGTGTACGTGTGACTGGCCAGGGTGTACAGGACTGTATGTAGAAGGCTGGGGGCCCGTTCATCACAACAGAACGGTATGCAATGTTTAATTCAACAGAAACTGCCTCCTGATGTGGCGCAGCAGTCTAAGGCGCTGCATCGCAGTGTTGCGGCGTCACTACAGCCTGGGGTTCGATCCCAGGTGTGTCACAACCGGCCGTGACCAAGAGTCCCATAGGGCGGCGCACAATTGGCCCAGTGTCATCCGGGTTAGGGGAGGATTTGGCCAGGGGGGCTTTACTTGGCTCATCGTGCTCTAGCGACTCCTTGTGGTGGGCTGGGCGCCTGCAAGCTGACTTCAGTCGTCAATTGAACAGTGTTTCCTCCAAAACATTGGTGCAGCTGGCTTCCGGGTTAAGCGAGCGGGTGTTAAGAAGCGCGGCTTGGCGAGTCATGTTTTGGAGGACGCATGACTCGATCTTCGTTTCTCCCGAGCACGTTGGGGAGTTGCAGCGATGAGACAAGATCGCAATTGGATATCAAGAAATTGGGGAGAAAAAGGGGGTAAAATTACAAAATTGAATAGAAATAATAATAATTAAACAGAAACTACTGTTCTGAATGACCAGTTGAAGAACCTGATTATGGTGACCCAGAAAGTGATAGTGTATGGTGTGCTGCATGAGTTTTGCAATTTGAAATGGTCACATCCATATTGATCAGACCACACCTCGCCACACTCCCCAAACGGGAGCAAATGTATCTCAAAGGCAGTTGAAGAATGCGCACTGTTTTAGGGAAACATGTCATTCAGTGCAAATCTTCACACCACATAGCAAACGTTGAAACAAACTGAACGCACCGCTGGTGTGTGTGTGTTTGTTGTGTGGTGTAAGAGCAAGATCGTGGCTGGTGTATTGATGACTGTCTCTTGTCTCTGTCTCTTTGTAGGGCTCTCCAGTCAAGTCCAACTCCTCCAGAGACTCAAGGACAGACGACCCGAGGCAACACAATTCTCTGCAGAAGAGGTAGGAAGACGTACACGCACACACACCCTGCCTTTCTTGTAACTTGACCTATAACAGAGTTGTATGTGATGTATAACAATCTCACACAAACACATGAGCCCAGCTCTGTAGCAGATTCTCAGCCTGTGTTATAGTCGTGTCTCTGTTCGGTTTTTAACAACAAAAAAATTGGACTCAACAAATGACCCAATGTACCCAACATACCATAAAATCTCCAGTCTAAATAAAGATCTCTAATCTAATGTGTTGAGTTAGATCACACATCTAACCCCCTCCCTTTCCCCATCTGTCTCCCACCCACCCCCTCCCTCAGGACTGCCCATGATCCAGCTTCTTCTGCCTCTCATAATCAGGTAACCCGAGTGTCTAAATGCTGTGTACAGCTTCCAATACTGATTATTACTACGTCAATTACTACTTACATGTTTTAAAACTTCATTTATTGAGTGTAAATGTTGATACCGCCTCTTTTCAACTCCATTCCTCTCTTCCTCGTTCCGCCTCCTCGCCCTCTCTGTTTCCCTCTGCTATCTTCCTTCATCTCCCTCTCTCTCTTGGTTTCTCTCCTCTCGCTTTGTTTCCTCCCCCTTCCTCTCTCTCCCCCCTCCCTCTCTCTCCCTGTGTTCAGAGAGGGTCAGGGGCTGGGGTTGGTGCGGGTCCGGGCGGGGCACCGGGTGGGGGCGTTGAGCACGTGCGGAGGATGGCCCAGTTGGCCGTCCTGCGGTACGAGGAGGAGAGGCAGAAGTCACGCTCAGTGCAGCGGGACGCCGTCATGACCTACGTCAAGGTTCCTCTGACTACTATTAATTTTTATTCTGTTGATTTATGTCTTGCTCTTGTATCACTGTAAGTGGTGGAGTTAATGGAACGTTAGTGGAGAGTTGGTAATAGAAGGGGCTGACACTGATGCTGTGTATGTATCTACAGTAGCCTTATGTTTTAAAAAGACAAATATATGAATGGCCTCAAATGAAAGTGACATTCTCTAGCGCTTTTTCTAAGTAGACATTTTGACTTTTGGATACTTTTGGAGCGCACTGTGTATGACTGAGACTGGTCTCTCGGTCTCTACAGCACAAAGCGTCTCTAAGTCCTACCAAGCTGAGTCCCACAGAGAACGAGGTGAGTCCACACACTGCTCTCTACACTCTGTTCTCTCTCTCCCTGCCTCCCTGCCTTACCTCTTTGCTCTGTTTTCTCTCACTCTGAAGGTCTCTCCATGGTGAGTTAATGTGTGTGTTGGCATAAATGGTTCTAGTTATAACTGAAGAAGCGTAGGGTTTTATAAAAATTCACAGGGGCTCTCTGTAAACATGACCACGCATTTTCTTCAGCAGTCATGTCTGGTGGTGCATTCTACCTCATCCCCCTTTCAATTGTCCTCATCGCGTCCTCCCCACACACACACACACACACACATATCCCTCTCTTTTGCTCCTATTGTGGTCACGTACCTTCCTTCACCCTCCCTCCCCTCTCCAGTTATACCATCACTGATTCTTGAGGGTAAAGACTAAACATCTACGACCCCAGCAAAGTATTGTCGATGTTTAACAATTTTTTATAGAAGACATCTTTTTTGTGCCTACTTTAAAAAAAATCTGTGCTATATGCAGGGTTCCAGACTGCAACCATTTTGTTGCATTTTGCGACCCTTTAACTTCGCTGTGCAAGTTACATTTTTTATTGGTCGCACATTCTATCTGGTCACCTCAATCAAAACGTCCTATTTTATGGGCGGATAAAACCATGAATTTGTTAAACAGTAAGTGCATTATCCTCATCATTCCTATAATAAAAGTGTCTTTCCTGCTGCTGTCGTTGTGGCCGTCTGCTGTAATGAGCGAGCCTCTCACACTCGCTCTACCCCCTTGTGGGCCCCTCGTCATTGTATAACATTTCAAAATGCAAATGCAGGGAAAAAACACAACTTTGGAAGCAGCTAGTTGTCCATAATAAAGAGAAGAGGGTCTCAGCTTTCTGTAGGTATATAATTTGTATTTCTCAATGATAATTATTGCGGTCAAAGCACACTGTTTTACAATCAAGATATCTGATATGGCTTTGAAATACAGAGCACGCAAAATTACGCATCGGCCATCGCAAGTGCACTCATTGCAGTTTTTTGGGGGACATTTACTGTTAGATTAATACATTGGCTACTAGCAGTAGGTATTATATTTACAGTTAGCGAGCAAGCTAATGTGTTTTGCGTTTCCACTTCCTCAGGTGGTGAATAAACACCAGTTGAATTTGACCTATAATATAATTAAAAACAAAACACTAAGTTATAACTGAGAAGTAGGCATTGGTCTGAAGAAAAAGAATGGAAATTCACATGAGCTCCACCCATACACACAGCTTTGACCTACTACAGTAACTATGTTGGTCTATTGTACTTCAAACCATGTGTTTGCAAGTTGCTTAGGATTCAAACCTTCTCAAACAGTCTAATTCATACTCTAAGAGGAGGTACTCCCACAATAATGTGATTTGTACTGCATCTAGGGGCTTTGGCGGTCATAAAATTTTGTCAGCCGGTTGTCATGCCAAAGAATGCCGGATTCACTGTAATTTACCGTTAATTAACATAAAACACGTTTAGCAACTCCAGGCCTCCACGCATACAAGCCTCTGATGCACGCCTTTTGAACATCTACATTTTAGTCTAAGTCTAATAAATCAATTTAATATACACCATCACAATAAATCCATTATTTATTCTAGGCAGGTCTAAAGAAACATGATCTGAAGAAAATAGTATTTAGTCAGCCACCAATTGTGCAAGTTCTCCCACTTAAAAAGATGAGAGAGGCCTGTAATTTTCATCATAGGTACGCGTCAACTATGACAGACAAAATGAGAATTTTTTTCTCCAGAAAATCACATTGTAGGATTTTTTTATGAATTTATTTGCAAATTATGGTGGAAAATAAGTATTTGGTCAATAACAAAAGTTTCTCAATACTTTGTTATATACCCTTTGTTGGCAATGACACAGGTCAAACGTTTTCTGTAAGTCTTCACAAGGTTTTCACACACTGTTGCTGGTATTTTGGCCCAATCCTCCATGCAGATCTCCTCTAGAGCAGTGATGTTTTGGGGCTGTCACTGGGCAACACAGACTTTCAACTCCCTCCAAAGATTTTCTATGGGGTTGAGATCTGGAGACTGGCTAGGCCACTCCAGGACCTTGAAATGCTTCTTACGAAGCCACTCCTTCGTTGCCCGGGCGGTGTGTTTGGGATCATTGTCATGCTGAAAGACCCAGCCACGTTTCATCTTCAATGCCCTTGCTGATGGAAGGAGGTTTTCACTCAATCTCACAATACATGGCCCCATTCATTCATTCCTTTACACGGATCAGTCGTCCTGGTCCCTTTGCAGAAAAACAGCCCCAAAGCATGATGTTTCCACCCCCATGCTTCACAGTAGGTATGGTGTTCTTTGGATGCAACTCAGCATTCTTTGTCCTCCAAACACGACGAGTTGAGTTTTTACCAAAAAGTTCTATTTTGGTTTCATCTGACCATATGACATTCTCCCAATCCTCTTCTGGGTCATCCAAATGCACTCTAGCAAACTTCAGACGGGCCTGGACATGTACTGGCTTAAGCAGGGGGGCACGTCTGGCACTGCAGGATTTATCCCTGGCGGCGTAGTGTGTTACTGATGGTAGGCTTTGTTACTTTGGTCCCAGCTCTCTGCAGGTCATTCACTAGGTCCCCCCGTGTGGTTCTGGGATTTTTGCTCACCGTTCTTGTGATCATTTTGACCCCACGGGGTGAGATCTTGCGTGGAGCCCCAGATCGAGGGAGATTATCAGTGGTCTTGTATGTCTTCCATTTCCTAATAATTGCTCCCACAGTTGATTTCTTCAAACCAAGCTGCTTACCTATTGCAGATTCAGTCTTCCCAGCCTGGTGCAGGTCTACAATTTTGTTTCTGATGTCCTTTGACAGCTCTTTGGTCTTGGCCATAGTGGAGTTTGGAGTGTGACTGTTTGAGGTTGTGGACAGGTGTCTTTTATACTGATAACAAGTTCAAACAGGTGCCATTAATACAGGTAAGTGGAGGACAGAGGAGCCTCTTAAAGAAGAAGTTACAGGTCTGTGAGAGCCAGAAATCTTGCTTGTTTGTAGGTGACCAAATACTTATTTTCCACCATAATTTGCAAATAAATTCATTAAAAATCCTACAATGTGATTTTCTGGAGAAAAAAAATTCTCAATTTGTCTGTCATAGTTGACGTGTACCTATGATGAAAATTACAGGCTTCTCTCATCTTTTTAAGTGGGAGTATCTGGCTGTCAACAATCACACACTATTGACAGAACCGGCTCACAAGAGGTGGAAAGGGGGGTCTTACTGTATAGCCCCAGGCTGTAGTAATTAATTTTAAAGAACAGAAAGTAGTCCACTACCATGCCCTACCACTCAAGCGACAATCAGTGAAGTGCCAAAGCCCATCTGTTGCCCCTGGATTCAGGGTTAGCGGTAATAACTAAACAAACCTGAATGTACACGCGGTTACTAAAGGAATGATAATGAAGTGCTAGGGAGCTAGCCATGCTGCAGATACACATTGCCAGCTTACTTGGCCAATTACCTAATTAACAGACTTAGCCGCTGACATAAACGGTATTACAGACGTCTAAACTCTGAGGGAAATACAGTGTGCTGGCTAACAAATGTACAGGAGAAATACATTATAAACAGTGACATGGAAAGCAACTTACTGTTCATCAACGCACACAAAAGGAACTGTAATGTACAAACATAACCGATAACTTATGCCGCGTTCAAAACAACTAGGAACTCTGAAATCTCTGACTTACGACTTCAGTGCGTTCAAGACAACTGCGAAAAATCGTTTTGAATGGTCATCCAACTTGGCAACTCTGGCATCTTTCTAGACTTTTCGACCTTAAGATCACTGACGTCATGATTTGAATTTCCCCTGAGTTCCCAGTTGAAAAGCACCATTAGTTCTTTACAATAACTGTGAACTTGGCCTGGCATGCACCAGGAGCGTGAATAGAAGGTACTTGCGTGCGCACTGTGCTAGGAGAGACATCATACCTAGAATGAGAACAGCATGAGAGAGGCAGCCTTTCGTATATACTCTATAGGGAACAATTTGGTGGTGGTGGAATAAATGAAATTGCATAAAGACATTTGGCATGGAGAAATTCATATGTAATAGCCATTTTGTTATTCATTACACAATTTACTACAGTAGGCTGCATAAAATAGATGAAGGATAAACAACAACATGTAAAGTATGCTACATGAGCAGGTCAAATCTTAACATCATAAAAAGCATATTCAAATCCGTAGTACTCCTCAGAGTGGAATTGCGATTGGATTGCATGGACCACACAGGCAGGTATAGGCACTCTGTTCCTCTTCCCCAAGTGTCATCTTGCCCACAGGGTAAATTGCCTATAGGCAGTCAATCTGTAATGACTGAAACATGCATATTGATTATTAAGTGTGCCATTAAAGTGGATTGCGTCACAAGCTGTAAAATGTCAACAAACGCTCCTGTCATTACAGTAGCCAGCAAACAACTAGCTAGGCAACTTGTGGGGACACAATTCACAAGACTTCACTTAGTTATTTAGCTAGCTAGCTGGCTGCTTTCCTAGCAAACACACTTTTGACTGGTACTGTATGTAAACGTAATATTTCTGTTTTTTTTGTTTTATATGTAGCTCAGCTGGTAGAGCACGGCGCTTGTAACGCCAAGGTAGTGGGTTCGATCCCCGGGACCACCCATACACAAAAAAAATGTATGCACGCATGACTGTAAGTCGCTTTGGATAAAAGCGTCTGCTAAATGGCATATTATTATTATTATTATAAATTTGCAAAAAAATCTAAAAACCTATTTTTGCTCTGTCGTTATGGGGTAGTGTGTGTGTGTGTGTGTGAATTGATGAGGGGGGGGGGGGAAACTATTTAATCAATTTTAGAATAAGGCTGTAACGTAACAAAATGTGGAAAAAGTCAAGGGGTTTGAATACTTTCCGAATGCACTGTATGAGAACATGATATCATGGTTTGTTTTAGCGTTTCATTTAATCATATTTTAAACCTAACCACACTGCTAACCTTATGCCTAACCTTAAATTAAGACCAAAAAGCCGCAAACAAAATTCCATGGTGGTGACGTTAGCGCGTACGCTATGAACCCTGTCATGAACGCATTATCTTGACACTATTTAAATGGACAGTCTGGTGATTACAGGAAGCTCTTGTTCACTCAGTACTGATTTGAATGTTTTTCTCTTGCTTTATAAAAAGACATATTGTCTAAAACAGTTTTGTTGAAAACCGTCACATTGCTAGCCAAGTTAGCAAACATGTCGTTTTCTTTTGAAAGTAACACCCCCTCAACATATAAACACAGACACTGAAAATGATCTTATTTTTCTTTATCAGGTAGCTCTCAAAAGAGCCTTTGCATTGCTGAGCAGTTAAATTTTCAGGAGTGTGCTGCCTGCCTGCCTGCCATCAGAGGAGTCTGCCTGCCTGCCTGCCATTCATCAAAGGAGTAGATCAGTAAATAATGAAATGTTAGTAAGTTATTGCCACGCTTTCACATAGAGGCCTAGTTTACATTTACATTTTAGTTATTTAGCAGACACGCTTATTCAGAGCGACTAGTTTTAAGTGCCTTGCTCAAGGGTACATGGGCTGATTTTTCACCTAGTCAGCTCGGGGATTCGAACCAGCCTCCTTTCGGTTACTGCCCAACGCTCTTAACCGCTAGATTACAAAGCACAAAATGTTAAACACAAAAAGGCAAATGGTAGTAGATAAACTGGTTAAATAAAAGACTGCTCTTAGAACTTTCAGACTCATATCTCAATGTATGTATTTTAATTTTCTCATAGGGAAACAATAGGGCAGCCTCAGAGTTCCAAAAGTTGTGTAATTCCTGACATTTTAAATGCTAGCTTTTGATGACAACGGAGTATGCTGCCCAGCCTTACATCATTACAAAGAGATTATCCTAATTAAAAGGGTGTCTGACTTGAAAAAATCGAAATATACACATTGCGACATATTTTGTGAAATAAACTGACATACCTACATTTCCCCTATAGGAAACAAATGGGACAATATAACGAGTCAAAATTCACCTAAGGCTGAAAAATGGCCAAAGAACGTTGGTTGAGCTGGAACACTAGCGATTGAAATCAACCTTCGCTGATCCTGTTCTGACTGGAATGATCCTTAGAATTTTATTTTCCCTAAATGGCACCAACAAATGTATACCTTTTTATTTTACCACTACAATCTGTTCTTAGGACAAAACTGAAAAATAACATATTGTGTAGAAAGTAAACATCCGCACCTCGATGGTGCCAAGTGTGCTTATGTCTACATAACGGAAGAAATGGCAACTTCTGACTATTTCTAGTCTAGCGATCGGTGACAGCAGAGTACCTTATGTCATTAGGTACCCAACCTTATGTCATTAGAAAGAGGAGATTCTCATGATTAAAATGGTGTCCGACTTGAAAAAATCAAAATACACATTGCGAAATATACCAGCATGCCTCTCCATAGGAAAACAATGGGGGGAGCTCAGCGTTCCAAGGGCAAAAAGTATTTCGGGGCTAGCGTTTGACAACGGAGTACGCTTCCCAGCCTTACATAATTAGAAAGAGGAGATTATCCTGATTTTAAAATGGTGTCTGATTTGAAAAAATTTAAATATACACATTGCGAGATATTTTGTGAAATAAACAGACATACCTATATTTCCCCTATAGAAAACAATGGGACGACCTCAGTGCCATTAGTATTTTTTGTTGTTGTTGACGTTTTAACTACCAGCAATTGGTAACAGCATTGCACCCTGCTCAAACGTATCTCATTAGAAATAATATATGTTATCCTGATTTAAATGGTGTAGAACTTCAAACCATTAAAATACATACAAGGTGGCTGTGGTTCGAATCCCAGAACCGACTAGGTGAAACATCTGTTGATGTACCTTTGAGCAAGGCACTTACCCTAGTCACTCTGGATAAGAGCGTCTGCAAAATGACTAAAATGTAAATGTAAACTAGGCTTCTATGTGAAAGCGTGGCAAAAACGTATTAACTAAATCATTATTCACAGCTTTACTCATCTGTTGACATGGCAGGCAGGCAGCACACTCCTGAAAACGAACTGCTCAGCAAAGCAAAGGCTCTAAAAAAATAAAAATAAATAAAAAATACTCGTTTTCAGTGTCTGTGTTTATATGTTAAGGCGTCACCCATCTAAATACATTTATGTTTATTTTTTATAATTAACTAAATGTATGGTGTTTGTCAGTTTCATTGTTTATGCTATAAATGGTTATTGTATGGTTGTAAGTGATCAAATGAACTAGAACATTTTATATTTAGCAATTCTGAGTAATTACTACTTTTAGTAAGGATATACACTTTATTACACCACTCCTGCGTACACTTTGTTCTGTCCCTTTCCACACTGCTAACGCAAGAGGAAGGACTGAAAAAGCATTTAACAGATTACTGTTAAGTAATATAAATTACCTGATGTAAACCTACGAGGTTAACGTGGGCAGGTCGTATTGCTGACAATAGCGAAGCAGGCATTGTGACGTTGAACAATGGGCTGGGAATAGAAGGCGAGTTGGTGCCACGGTGCTCAATAGAATTAATAGGAGCTGGCAGGGTGGATACATTTCCTAAAATAAGGCCTGTTTTTTCTCTATTACTTCAAAACTATGGCAAGCATGAAACTGGGCTCCACGGTGGATGGAATGAACTAGTTTTTATCAGAAAAAAGCGTTGTTAAAAATGTTGTGTCCAACCTATTAATGTTAACGTTACAGCCCTGTTGGCTTGTAGCTAGCGAACGTTATTGGCTAACATTAGTTGGCTAGCTAACTGGCAATAGCAGTCAATGAGGTTCGCTATCTTATTTGTGCTTATTACATGCAAGTGTCAAGGCCAACAATTTACACAGATGGCTTCAGCCATGTGAAAAACCTTCCATAGCAAAATACAGCTCGCTTCCTTTGCTTGTAGCTTGCCTCTCATCCGACTGGTGTTAGCTAGCTACTAGCACTGTTGCTGCGCAACCCAAGTGCTTTGGTCCGGTTTTAGAACTCTTGAGATTCGGCTGAAGATATGTTGGCATTGTCAGAAATGCTACAAAAGGGTAGCACGTCGTTGGTTCTTAATGGACAGAAATGAGCACGTGAGAGTGATACATTATACATTTTCATAAACTGTTGCACCTACAAACGTATTCAGTCCGAAAGGTGGCAAGTCTAATGCTCACTTTATGGACGCTGTAGCCTCGTTTTAATCCGACGTCTAGAATTTGAGCTAGGTTTGGGCCAAAAAATCGTGACGAGAGGCAGGGAGTGTGTTGTGTATGGTCAGTCAAGTTTATTTACAAATTTCCATCGACATTGGTGTCATATTGGTTTAGATATGACGGTAGGGAAATTTGAATGTAACATTGAGCTTCAACCAATGCATATACTATAACCCAATAATATTAGTGCACATAAAGACAAAAAAAGTCATTTCTGGAGCCCTATATTGACAGTAAAATATAACAAAAGTAGCCTAATTGTCAACCCAAGATTCATGACAATCACTGGATTAGGTTGCATATCAAAGTATTTTGAATCATGCATTCCTGCTTGGACATGTTGGACACTTATTTATTGAATACCATCTCTGTAGTCTATGACACTTCTTAATAAAGCATTGTGAATTACTTTGTAATGACAGGTGCTGACTCAAATGTATTATATTGTGGGACGCTGCACACATTTTTTCCCAGGGGTTCCACCAAATCATGGGCTGGTGCCACCAACTGAAAATGTTAGTCTAGAGCCCTGGCTATATATCCTAGCTATCTCCCCCTTCCCCCTCTCCAGCCTCACCTCCTGTCTTCCCTGTGTGTTCTGTCCTCATTCCCTCTCTTCCACTCCTCCCTGCCAGAACGCGTACCCCTCCAGGCGTTCCACCCACACGGACGACTCGGCCCTCTTCGTGGTAAGGCGCCGTGGCTGTGCTTCCATTCTCTTCTTCCATTCTTCTCCTACAAGTGTGCACTCCTTCACTCCTCCACTGATTTTAAAACAGCGGTCAATTTTTTATTTATTTTATTAATTGCATTTTCATCTCTTATCAAAATGAAAAGAAACCAATAAATAGATTTACTCAATAAAATGTTATTTTTCAAGTTATCTTTCTCAAAAACGTTCATATCCTTCCATGCAATAATCTGTACTCTTAATTTAGAAATAATACTTGGTGACACCACTGCAGTTCCCGGTCGGCCACACAAGGGCGCGAGACCCGACTTCAAAATACAACTTTTTTTTAAAGGGAGCAACTGGGGAAATAAATATGGTAGCCCATGGCATGCTTACACCAATCTATTGCTGGGGATAAAAAAATAAAAAATAAAATATATTTCAACAAAAATGAATCTTATGCTTTTAAACCCATGTGGGGGAGTAAACGAGTGCCCACTTTAGGAGAACAGTAGGAAATGGGAACACGACCCTGTGTCACCTGCTCTCTGTCTGTCCTTTAACCACCCGTCAACACCCAATAACCTTTCATAGTCCTCCCCCTCTAACTAGTCTTCCATGGTTGGATTAACACTCTTGTCTACTGTTTGGTTATATAGCTACACATGTTAATCTATAGACTTACAGGTAACTGACAAAATAAAGGAAACACTTGAGTAAATGAGGGATACAAAGTATATTGAAAGCAGGTGCTTCCACACAGGTGTGGTTCCTGAGTTAATTAAGCAATAAACATCCCATCATGCTTAGGGTCATGTATAAAAATGCCCAGTTGCCCATTATTATGGCTACCATGGTTAGAAGAGATCTAAGTCACTTTGAAAGAGGGGTCTCAAAGGAGCGTAGGGGGTTTAAAGGGTGTGTGTCTCAGTCACCAAATCTCAACCCAATTGAACACTTATGGGAGATTCTGGAGTGGCACCTGAGACAGCGTTTTCCACCACCATCAACAAAACACCAAAGGATGGAATTTCTCATAGAAGAATGGTGACGCATCCCTCCAATAGAGTTCCAGACACTTGTAGAATCTATTCCAAGGAGCATTGAAGCTGTTCTAGAGGCTCGTGGTGGCCCAACGCCCTATTAAGACACTTGTATTTAGGTGTTTCCTTTATTATGGCAGTTACCTGTATTTCGTCATATGCATTACTTTTTCAGTATGTCTGTCTGTGTGGAAATCTGGTCTTTCTAATTGCATCTGACAATCTTATGGACTGCGTTTAGTTTTTCCAATTATCCAACAGTCTTTTGGTCAGTGAGCGATGCAAATCCTGCCGTTCACGGCCACTGTAAAAGAAGAGTCTGGCGTTTGACAACATTAACTGGATCGTGTTCATTACGCACCAAACGGAAGAAAGCGGATGGAACTGCCAAGTGGGACTAGGATAAAACGCTCATTTTCATTTTCTGTCAAGTGCCCTAATGAACACAACCCTGGCTATTGTAACTTTTTCACACTAACATTCCTCCAACCCAAACTGTACTCCTCTGGCTCACTTTTCTCTGAGCACAGTACGGTGTAACTCAAGGATCAGCCTGCTTTGGTAGACACGGCTTATTTACAGCCTGGTTTGGGCGGGACTTGGCGAGCTAACCATGCCCCTCGGCTCAGTTAAAATTATATTTTACTAAAAAAAAAACTTTAAGTAGTTTAAGATGGAGCACTGTACTGAAAGTGCTCTTCCTTGAAAACTTAATCTGCTGACATGCACAATTTGTGACTGTCAACAGTATACTAATGAACAAAATACCAAAATATGTTTTATTAAAATATCCCTTTAAAAGGGGGCTGACACTAGTTACGTAATCAGGGTGCAAATGGAAATATCCACACCAGCACAGTATGGTTTGGGTCTGCACGATAGTGTGAAAATGCTGTTAGTATAGTTATTAGATGACCTGCTGCTTGGTTCTGGGGTTCAGCTGGCTGTTGGAATCCTTGCCTGTCCCCCTTGCTTTCTGACTAAACTTTCTTTTACTAACCTGTTCCAGAGACAATGTATGTGTCCCAAATGGCACCCTATTCCCTATATAGTGCCCTACTTTTGACCAGAGCCCATAGGGTGCAGCAAATAGGTCCCTTCGTCTTCCTGACGCATTGTAACCAGCTTACACCTGTCCTGGCTTAACCCCTCTCTTCTTCTCCTCCTTCTTTCCCTTCCGATTCCCCTCTTTCTGTATTTGTTTATTTTCTCTCTCTTTCTCCCTTCTCCGGCTGGTTCACTGTTAGAGCGAGTACCAGCCTCTCATGGTGTTTGAGATAGACACTGACACCAACACTATAAAGAGGAGGCCTGGCACTCACAAGCAGGTGAAACACACTTTTTGCTACAGTACTACACACGCACACAAACATTTGACTTGTTTCACACGCACAATTAGGGAGCAACTGTGTACACAGCATACATACACACACAGTCACACATTGTTGGAGTAATCATACACAGCAATACACACATACAAACAAACAAATCAAGTCATAGGCACTTAACCCATATTGCTCTGGATAAGAGCGTCTGCTAAATGACTAAAATGAAAAATGATATACATGTGCTGTCTGCAAATATACCATCCCAAACACACGCACACAGTTGTTGTTTTGCGGCCCGTATCTGTGCAGCATGCTGTGTGTGCACTGTGCTTACTCAACAGTACTCAATTTTCTCTATCTCTCTCTGCATATAAAATCTCTCCATTATTCCACGTCTTTCTTTTTATTTTATTTTCCTTCACACTTCCTTGAGTTACTCTTTCTCCTCAATTCTCATTGGATTTTCTAAAAACAAATCCCTCAATCCACCTTTTGCCATTCCTTTCTTGTCTCTCTATGTTCCTCCTTTTACTTTTGTCCTCCTGCACTCTTTCTTCCTGCACCACCTCCCCCCAGTCTCTTTCTGGGTCTGGGATGTCCATAGATGGGTGTCCCTCTTATCCTGCCGACATCGTCCCCACGTGTCTACTGCAGGTACTGAAACCTTGCACGTCTTCTTTTCAGAGCAACCTCCCTTTTCCGTCTCTTTCTCTTTATTTCCTTATACTTTGGGTTTTAGAGCATGCTGCTAAACACTGGTCCAGGGCCAGTTTAGTGATGGTTTGTCAAGCGCATGTGTGGTGTGCTCCCCCGTGCAAAATGGCTGCCGTGGCATCACCCAGGTGTGAGCTACACTTTGGTGGTGGATGGGGTGAGTTTCCCCTGTACAATGGAAACACTTTGAGCACCTAGTAGGAAAGCACTAGGCCCTTTCTAAATCCAATCCATTAATATTCTTGTTATTATTAGCTAACCCTAAGGGGCACTCTACCTACCTGCAGCCAGAGAGCCTGCTCCAGGGCTCTATGCCCATAATACACCATCTCCTATGTAATGGTTGCCGAACTTTGATGTAGGGGTAAAATATAGGTCTGTAAACATCAAACAGTCAAGATGAATGCTAATGCTAACAGCGCTAATGTTGGCGTCAAAGGGTGCTTGAGTGATGTTTACGGGCCTTTACCCTCCCTCATTACATCTCTGGTGCGAACGGAGGTGTGAGACACCTGAGTATTGTTGAGAGAACCGTATATGCATGAATGCTGGTGTTTTCGTCCTGACTCAAATTGAAAGAGGGATGAAATGTACTCTCTCTCTCTCCCTCTCTCTGTTTGCTCTCCGCTGGGACTCGACTGGCCACTCAGCAGGGCGAGGATCGCTCCTCCTCCCTGTCTCCCACAGGTAAGACACCAGTCACACTATTCCTGCTGCCCTTCACTGCTAGGTGCAGCTATTCCCACTGGCTTCCAGGGAAACCAGAGTATCAATGGCTGTGAACTTGAGCAGCTTCCCACACACTCCTCCCCTCTCCTTTCTAATTTTCTGTATCCCAAATTGACCACTACCCCTTAGATGTTCCTGTGGATCTTCTTATTGGTGTCAGAGTGGCGCAGTGGTCTAAGCTGTGCCACTAGAGATCCTGGTTCGAATCCAGGCTCTGTCGTAACCGGCCGCGACCGGGAGACCCATGGGGCGGCGCGCAATTGGCCCAGCGTCGTCCAGGGTAGGGGAGGGAATGGCCGGCAGGGATGTAGCTCAGTTGATAGAGCATGGCGTTTGCAACGCCAAGGTTGTGGGTTCGATTCCCACAGGGGGTATGAAAAAAAATAATGTATGCACTAACTAACTGTAAGTCGCTCTGGATAAGAGCGTCTGCTAAATGACTAAAATGTAAATGTAAAATTACACGTCCTATTCACTCTCCCACCTGCTCACTTCCTGTTTGCAGCCCTCCAATCACCTTCTTACCCCGGCCCTGTTGCCCCGCCCTCCTGCCGGGGGCCCGCCCAGCGGCCAGAAAGCTTCTTGTTTCGCCTCAGCCAGAAGGAAGAGCAGAGGAGAGGTATGTCACCGGATCACAACTGTCTGGATGGCCTTGGGAGCTTTCAGAAGAGAGTGTTGGTACCAATGCGCATGTCACAATTGAGTGTCATATGTGACATTGCTCTGGTAACTGTGGCTGGGCTGATGGACTCGTCTGGATGGGATCCTGCACAGTCACTGAGCGATACTGTGGATAGTCAAACATAATAGAAGGTTCACACCCTTATAATTAAATTGGGAGGGGGGGGGGGGGGGGGTAGTTTTAGATAATTTTGGATATGGACAGATTTCTATGTTTTAAGTGGGGGAGGGGAAATTGTCGCCTTTTGTTTTACTATTATGTGTGATGGTCCCCTCTTAGTTTTGTGATCCCATCTATTACTTTGAGTTCTGTCTAGGTCAGAGGTCTGTCTGTCTGTAGCTGTAGAGTTCAGTGACTTCCATGTGTCTGTTGCTTACAGTTTCAGAGCTCAGTTTTCTGATGGTTTTGTTCCATCTCTCTATTACTTCAAGTTCCGTCTGTTGCTGTAGAGCTCCGTCTGTCTGTTGCTCAGAGCTTGTCTACAGCTCAGAGTTCCGTCTGCCTGTTGCTGTAGAGTTCAGTCTATCTGCTGTAGTTTGCCTTCAGAATAGTTTGCCAGCCGTCTGATCATGCCATTGTATCTGTAGAGAGCTGGACTTTCCCCCTCTTCAGGATTAATTATTAGCACCCATTCTGTTTGTATGTTTGAGCCTGTCTGTTTCTGCCTTCCTCCCCAGGTGATGGTGCCTCCCCCAGGCCGGAGCCTGAAGAGGTGACCCCTTCCCAGCCTCAAGGCCCTGTGGGAGAGGAGGCTGCTCTGGTGGAGCAACTGCGGAAGGTGAACAACACCCGACAAACAGATTCTCCCCCCTTTTAACCAAACGATTAAGGCCTGGAGTTTGTGCTGGGTTCCTTGGCCCATATTCATAAATAAAGCGTAGAAATGCTAAACTAGAATCAGTTTTGCCTTTCAGATCACAATGAGGACAATTATATGGACACAGGGGACCTGATCCTAGATCAGCACTCCTACTCTGAGATGCTTTATGAGCCCAGGTCAGATCACAAGGTCAGGAACAACTCCTGGCCCTACATGTGCTGATCCCCCTGTAACTTTGTCGTACTCTATTTTGTAGAACATCGAGTCGCGTCTGAAAGTGTCCTTGCCCAGCGACCTCGGAGCAGCACTGACAGACGGGGTCGTGCTCTGCCATCTAGCCAATCACATGTGGCCACGATCCGTACCCAGCATCCATGTGCCCTCCCCTGCTGTGGTGAGTGTTTGTGTGTGTGTGTGTTTGCATGAGCGTGTGTGTTTGCGCATGTTGTATGTGTGCTGTGCGTGCATACCATGCATGCATTAGTGAGATGTCAGTTTTAGAATTAATTTAGTCAGTGTGCCTTTCTGTCGGGAACAATACACTTCAAGCATATCAATACAACACTGCTACTTTTTACTTTGCGAAAGATTCGCATTTGGGTTATGATCAGACACTGCCTTACGTCCCAAATAGCACCCTATTCCCTATATAGTGCACTACGGTGACCATAGCCCTATAGGCCCTGGTCAAAAGTAGTGCTCTATACAGGGAAAAGGGTGCCATTTGGGACACAGCCGCCGTTGTTGTGCTTACCATTGTCCCCGTTCTGTCTGTGTCCATCAAGCCCAAACTGACCATGGCCAAGTGTCGGCGGAACGTGGAGAACTTTCTGGAGGCGTGTCGCAGGATCGGGGTTCCACAGGTAAGACCTTCACACTAGTTGAGTAAAGGTATGGCATGCTCAACTCTCTAGTCTTCCTGCTTAAACGTCTGTGTGTTTGTGATGGGTTAGATACAAGAGGACCTTTACTGACTGACTGTGTTCTACAGAAATTCAATTAATTTGCTAGCAGCAGACAGTGACCTCACCAAATTAATGAAATACCTGAAGGCTACTTTCAGACAATGCAATATTTATTGTACAGAGTAGGGAGACAAACTCCCTCTACTACTCTACTTTTTGTATCAACAACGGTTTAGCCTAGTTCTCTGTCCCTGCTCTTTTTATCAATTGACTCCAGCAAACTCAAGTGACAAACTGGCAACCGGCAAAGCTTTTGTAAACTGGATTTGGAGAGACGCTTAATAACAGTAACCTTCTTTCTCTCTCTTTCCGCTCCTCCACTCTTCTCTTTCTTTTAACCATAACACTTCCCTCTCAAACGCATCTTCCATCTGTCCATCCAAACACAAAACTCCCCTATCTGTGTGATCTTATCCTTTGCCTTCCCCCTCCCTCCGCTATTCTCTTCCACCACTTCACCTCCCGTGGGACAGGAGAGGCTGTGCACAGTGGAGGAGGTTCTGGATGGCCGGGGAGGCTGTGTTTACGGGATGCTGGGGAGTCCTGCTCTCCATGGCTCCTCCCCGCCTCCTAATGCGTTCTCCCCCGGCCCAGCTGGCAGGCTTCGCCCTGTTCTATATGTCCATCATGTCTGTGTTGTGTGCTCTGTACTGCCACCTGGTGCCCCACCTCTGAACTGTCTGTCTGGACAACACAATCCCTTCCTCACCTTCCTCGTCCCACAACGAACTGACTCTCTGCTACTCGTGCACGCACGCTCGCACACACACACACACACACAGTTGTTTGTTGGGGAAGGTTACTTGCGTCCCAACAAGGAGTGGCAAGGTGGACCTTCAATGCTCCCTCGTTACCCTTCTGTCATGTACTAGAACTGCCCCCCATTGAGAGAGACAGCGAGACCCTGGAGGTTGCTGTGTTGTCTGTGTCACTGAACTGTCCACTACTGTACCTACCTACTGAACCTCCTCCTGTGCCTTAAGTTTGTCTGCCTGCCTATGTGTGTGCGTGTGTGTTTTTAGATGGAACCTTCCCACCCGAAAGCACTTCCATTGCACTGATAACATCAATCAAGTCAGAGTGCTTGTCATATGTAGCCCACGTGCTTCCTCCCTCCTCCTGCCCCTGAGAAGAACCAACCACAAGTAATCTGACCAATCAACGCCAAGCGCTTCTCTTCTCTCCTGACTCGAACACAGCTTAGCCTTAGCTGCAAAATCAGTCTGAAGTTTATGCCTAATCAAAAAGAGAGCATGTCGTCGAGGGTCATTTTCTAAGCCTTTGAGTCCTTGCTGACGCACAATCAAGTATCCTACAGGAACTTTTTCTTCTTGACTGTCTGTGATCCAGCCCCCCCTCAGTCCTAATGCTCATTTTGTGGCGCCGGGATGACGTTTCCCCCTAAGTACAGATCTAGGATCAGCTTCCCCTCCCCAATCCTAACCTTAACTGAAACGCTCAAATCAACCTACATTTTATATGTCGACGTTATGTAACCTTGTTGAACGTGACGTTATGAAAATGCTTTTAAAACATAATATTATACCATTTTTCGAGCGCCTTGCACAAGCTTAGAGAGATGTGGCCACAGCCATATTGAAATAAAGTAATGGGAATGGTAGTGTCTGCACGCCTATTGTACACGCCCTTGACTTTTTCAAAATTGTGTTGTTACAAAGTGGCATTAAAATGGATTTCATTGTCCTTTTTTTGTCTACGATCTACACAAAATACTCTGTCAAAGTGGTGGAAAAAAATTAAACCCGAATATCTTGATTTAGATACGTATTCAATACATGAGTCCAATACATGTTAGAATCACCTTTGGCAGTGATTACAGCTGTGAGCTCTGTCAAATTGGTTGTTGATCATTGCTAGACATCCATTTTCAGGTTTTGCCATAGATTTTCAAGAAGATTTAAGTCAAAACTGTAACTCGGCCACTCAGGAACATTAACTGTCTTGGTAAGCAACTCCAGTGTAGGTTTGGCCTTGTGTTTTAGGTTATTGTCCTGCTGAAAGTTGAATTAATCTCCCACTGTCTGGTGGAAAGCAGACTGAACCAAGTTTTCCTCTAGAATTTTGCCTCTGCTTAGCTCCATTCCATTTCTTTTTTATCCTGAAAAACTCCCCAGTCCTTAACGAGTACACGCATACCCATAACATGATGCAACCACCACTATGCTTGAAGTGGTACTCAGTGATGTGATGTGATGTATTGGATTTGCCCCAAACATAACACTTGGTATTCAGGACCAAAAGTTTATTGATTTGCCAAATTTTTTGCAGTATTACTTTAGTGCCTTGTTGCAAACAGGATGCATGTTTTGGAATATTTGTATTTTGTACAGGCTTTCTTCTTTTCACTGTCAATTCGGTTAGTATTGTGGAGTAACTACAACGACACCTGTATCTTTGTAATGACTGGGTGTATTGATACACAATCCGAAATGTAATTAATAACTTCACCATGTTCAAAGGGATATTCAATGTCTGCTTTATTATTATTTATTTTTTATATAACAATATACCTTCTTTGCGAGGCATTGGAAAATCGCCCTGGTCTTTGTGGTTGAATCTGTGTTTGGAATTCACTGCTCAACTGAGAGACAGATAATTGTATGTGTGGGATATTTTTTATTAATTTGTAAACATTCCATTTTGGCATTATGGGGCATTTTGACATTTTTAAATTCAGGCTGTAACACAACAAAATGTGGAAAAAGTCAAGGGGTGTGAATACTTTCTGAAGGCACTGTATATCGCAATGAGTGCTCTTATACTGTTCTATACGAAGACAAAGCACATATTTTGTGAGAAAGAGAGAGGGAGTGAATCTGTGGGTTTGTTCCAAAAGGGACCCTATTCCTTAAAGTGCACTAAAAGTAGTGCACTCAATTGGGAATAGGGTGCCATTCGGGACGCAACCTGTGTGTAGTCTGTTGTTGGTCTGTGCTGAATGACAAGGAGTAATGTCTCTTCCAGCTCCGAAGTGCGGTGTGTATGTTCTCTGTGTCGGTGGTCTGTTTGCTTAGTGTGTGTAACCGTGTGCCTATCTCTCCTGTGTCTTCTGTTGTTGACCTTTTCAACTCTTCCCCAGAGCTCCTCCCTTCACAATAAAATGAACCAAATATCTGGTGTGACTTCCTTCCTCTCTGCAGTCTGTGTTATCACATGTTATCACTCTCTCTCTCTCTCATATTCTCACACTCACCTATATTTGCTCCTGTGGGATATGTTGTTCAGTGAGTGTCTCAGTGCACGAGTCCCTACTTATTGTAACCCTGTGCCTCTGTTTGCACACCCCTGCTCCCCTTCCATGCTCTCCTCAAGGTCATGCCTTTGGATCCCATTCAACTTCTTTTCCATCTTATGTTGAGTTTGACATCTTTACATTTGTGTTGATGATGTCTGTTATGTTTTGGTGGTTGTTGTTTTTGTTATTATTATTTACCCATCCATTGACATACCCTTTTTTTGTTCTCCCCGCTCCCGTTTCCCCTCCTCCCTTTGTCATGCGTGTGTGTTCCTGTGTGTTTGTGTGTACATGTGCTCTTCGTCTGGCCTCAGACCCAGCTGTGCCTGCCCCTCCACATCCTGGAGGAGAGAGGGCTCCCCCAGGTGGCCGGGACGGTGCGTGCGCTCCTGGAGCTGGCCCCGCCCAAACACACAACCTCCCCCGCCACCACCACTACCCCTCTGGCTATGTAGGGCAGCAGAGTTCCAGAGTTCCACACTCACTCTCATGGATGGACAGACACAGGACCCACCCTCTCCCTCTCCGAGGGTACGTTACATGGCTTTCCCTCTCGACCACCGCTGGCACAAGGGGGTGTGAAGAGAAGACACCCTAAAAAATGTCCCCCCATTTCCCCTCACCCCAAGACCCTCCCCCGCCCCCTCAGCCGTACAGGGGCACCCAGCCTTCCCAGACAGGTCTTCCCCCAGTGGAGAGCGAGAGAGAGGGAACACGAGTAGGTGAAAGAAAGGGATGACTGTCTCTTCCTCAGTGTCCCCACACAGACTGCTTACGACTTGCAGCCTCTAAAGACAGACGGACGGACAACCGAGATTGTCCCAAACGGTCAGTTGGACGGCGAGGGTTCTTTTTATTTTCTAATATTAGTCAGTTGTCTTCTCTCTCACTTCTCTCTCCATCCTCCTTTTACCTATGTTCACAAGGGTTGTTTTATTTTGCATCATCATTATTATTATTATTATTATTATTATTATTATTATTATTGCTTCTCATTTTTCATATTTGTTTTACTGTCACATGTCAGGTGGGGGTAGGGGAAAGGGTTAGGAAGTTGTCGGTTGCCTAAGTAACCCTTAAGGTCATGTGCTACAAGGAGTCATATGAGCAACAGTAACGTTGATCCTGCCAACACTTAAAATGGCTGTTATTAAATTAACCAATCCTTTAAAATTATTATTATGTGGTCAAATCAAGAGCTGGCTGAATCAAAACCGATGCTGGAGTGAAGAGAGCGAGGGAGCTCTGGGAATCTCTCAGTTTTATACTTTCTCAAAATGTTGTGTACAAATATATATTGAGTGAACAAAACATTAGGAACACCTTCCTAATATTGAGTAGCACCCCCTTTTACCCTCAGAACAGCCTCAATTCGTTGGGGCCTGGACTCTACAAGGTTTCAAAAGCGTTCCACAGTGATGCTGGCCCATGTTGACTCCAATGATTCCCACAGTTGTCAAGTTGGCTGGATGTCCTTTGGGTAGTGAACCATTCTTGATACACACAGGAAACTGTTGTGCATGAAAAACCCAGCAGCGTTGCAGTTCTTGACACTCAAACCGGTGCGCCTGGTACCTACAACCATACCCAATTCAAAGGCACTTGCCCATTCACCCTCTGAATGGCACACATACACAATCTCAATTGTCTCAAGCCTTAAAAATCCTTCTTTAACCTGTCTCCTCCCCTTCATCTACACTGATTGAAGTGATTCAAGTGACATCAATAAGGGATCATAGCTTTCACCTGGTCAGTCTGTCATGGAAAGTGGTGTTCCTAATGTTTTGTGCACTCAGTGTATAGTGTATGGGTCATTATACAGAAGTGGTGCAAATTTGGGGTTGAAAAATAAATTTGTATCCTATTTTCCGCAAACTTTCAGCACACATCTTCCAACATATGTCAGGTAGACATATTCTACTCACACACTTTGTTTGTATTGCATATTTGAAATATTTACCAGAATTTACCTTACCACCCCACTAGATGTCATTTCCGAAACATAGTGAAAAAGTAGCAATAAAGGGAGAACAGCACAGTAGTAATCATTTTGATTAACCTTCTATTACAGATTCATTTGAGAAATGATTTGCATACCAAATTAACAAAATAGCAGGCGTTGGCAAAATAACAGGTGTTTCAGTGTCAAGTGTCAATAGAGATAAATAGAGGACTCAGATGGATATAACTCGCTTTAGTATAGACATTGCCATTGAGGGCTTCCACCATTTTAAATATAGTAAACTGGGTGGCGATTGGTGAGTGATCAGCAAATGACCAGTGAGCATTGGCTTCTTCAAATTGGGTTGCCTATGGTTTGTAAACCAAAGACTATGGTAATATCCAGGAGCCAAGACCAATATTTATACCAGGACATTGGTCCCAAGATCCAGACCCAGTGAGTTGAGACCATGACCAGTTAAAGACCGAATTTGTGGTCTTGAGTGTTTTTTTATTTGTGGTCTTGAGTGTTTAATTGGTGGGGGACTCAACTTACTCCTGAAAGTTGTAGTAGTGTAATGCACAAGGTGCAATTTTGAAATTGGGTAGCGCATAAGCAGTTTTCCTCTTGTCATGTCAGTCAATGCAGACCTTAGAGAGCTATTTTAAACTTGTCAGAAATGTCCAGATCAACTAGCCCATGTCAGCTCAATTTTTTTAGCTTGGTTTCTTAGACCATTGATTTGCAGCAAATAAGCTTTAAAATGGCGAAATGTTCTCTCAGCCAACAAGAGGAGTGTGAACAGTTTGTCATAAATGTGCTTGTGCCCATAGAAATAGACGTGGCGCGGATGTTCCCCAATGCTGGGAACCCCTGCAGTAGAGTACAGCAGAGCATAGTACAGTATAGCACATTATAGATGTCTATGTTTTGGCCAAATAGATGGCAATATTTGGGGTCTTGGATGGTTGGATCCCCCGGCTGGCTATGCATCTCACAGATGCCATAATGGCATAGATACAAAGATGAGACTTCTATATATCTCCATGGTGTCAATTGTTTCGGTTTGACTTATTTTGGACTCAAAAGAATCCCCATAGCTAACATATTGCTAGCTATCTTTCATTTGGACAGATGTACTGTACATCCCAGCAAACATATTTTAGGCCCAAAACCGTACTTTACATATTTATTAGATGTTAGATGTTCGGTAGTGACACTTCTTAAAAATAGATTATCTACCAAGTTGCTTATTCATTTTCTACAAAATGTTTGCAGATAGACTACTCACCATGTGTCCATGCTGGAGAGGGGTGCAATCCCATCACCTGGTGATATTTGTAGAAGTGTGGCTTAAGGTACATTCATTCTACAGTCTTTTAATTTGTGTGTTTCGGTAGTGACATCAAAAGGTGGGAAAGCATTTTTAATACAAAGATGTTTAAAAATAAACAACTACTAATGAGATCAGTATTTTTCTATGTAATAATAGAACAATTCAAGATGTTCTATTGTAAAGATAGTGTAAAAACAAAAATACTTAAATGCTTTATTTTCAAACATGAAGTTTAGGAGTCAGGGTTTGGGACAGCCACCTCAATAGAAATAGGTGTATAAAAAATGACTTTGTACTATATTAATTTAACAATATATTTGTTATTGCCTTGGATTGAATTAAAACATATCATGATGTAAATAACATATTTTTTATATATTGTTTTTTGGGGGTGGGACTGCAATTAGCACCACTTCTGTAGAATCACCCATATATAAAGCTGCAATTTATGTGTTTTGCCACAAGGAGTTGCGGTCTCCTGTAGCTACATGGATTGGACACCGCACCCCAGAGTGTAGGTAGACACTGTCCTTAAGCGCTGGACCAGGGCAAGTAAAATAAAAAGTACTATAAGAAAACAAAACAAGCCTCTTAAAGGGTTCGTGTTATGAGTGGGATTGGTTCAAGTTGATTCTAGACCAGTGTTTACAGGCACGTTCTTTTTTTATTATAGTCTAATCTAATGACGAGCGGTTGGGGCCGGCCAGGGTCTGGGGCTAAACATACACTACCCTTTTTATTTTCTAGTCTTTTTTACAAACCACCTCATCACCTTCACCGTTGAGTTCAACATGGAGAGTTGAGACCGTAGACAAGTAGTATATGACACTGTCTCCCTCATGCACAGAACTCATCTTTTTATCACTACATGTAGCTAAGCTTGCATGAGATTCAAATGGGTCTATAGATTTAGCTATTGACAGTTTTCAAGACACCCTTCCGATTCTCATGATCAAGTTGTTTTTAGTCTATGGTTCAATAACATTTTATAGACACAAATGTGGCTCTTGCCGCACACATTGCTAATTTGGTCTGGCAACAGTTACAGTACTCTGCCATACTGTAACAGTATTTATTTGTCACTAGCTCTGTCCTTAGAGAACCCCATTGACAAGTCCGTGTTCATTAGGCACCAAACAGAAGAAAACACTGAAACAGGGACTGTTTTTGTCCAATAAGAAACGTTAATTTTCGTTATCCATTGCAAAACATTTTCAGTTGCATGCACTAATGAACATGACCCAGCTCTACTTAGAGCAGTGTTACCTACTTAAAGCCAGGTTAACTGACTGGCTCTTAATTCTAATGAGGCAGACACAACCTCTAGTTCCCAGGGAGGGGGATGAGGGAGTGCTAGCCACAGAGCTGACAATAATACTCTGGTCAAGACTGACCAAAGGACCACTGATTGATGGGGTATGGGCTTTTGTAGGCAGATTCCCAGCCTCCCTTTTCAGAACTCGGAGTCTATCGAAAAGAAAGTTAAAATGGTAATACCTCCTGATATTTTTCCCTTCAGAAGCTATGTAGACAGCCTGCATAGATGCACATCCCTACAGTAAAAGCTATGTAGGCTGGCAATCTGTGTACATAGCTACTGAAGGGAAAAAATAGTGGTATGTTTTTAGCATTAACTTTCTTTTGGATAGACTGAGTTCTGAAAAGGGAAGTTAAAGGTAATTTAAATATATTATTATAAATGTTTTGTATATATATTTGTGTTTTTTCCCTCCGCCTGACTTGGACTTTCTCCAGCAGAAATCATGTGCCCCTACTGCTGGGTCTGGACCCTGTGACATTTGTACAGTAAAATAGATACATTCCATTTGTTTACAAGTATGTACTACTTCCCACATACAGAGAGGACCTTTTTTTATTGACCGCAACATTATCTTTTTAACTTAACATTTTAAAAGTTTGCTTAGAAATTGTCCCTGAAAACATGTAAAAAATGTAATTATTTTCTGGAATGCATATTTGGCTGTCTTTAACGTTCATTAATAAAGGTTTCCCCATTTGTCTCCTGAGTGCGCTTGTTTATTACCATTCTTGCCCTTGTGTTAGACTGCATATAAGTAAGAACCTTGTAATGGTGGTGGTAGTAGTATTCAAAATGGCCATGCCAACTTTATACTCTCGGTCAAACAAAATCAACTGCAGTTCTCATTGAAGATATATTTGCCTACAGGCCAAGTGTCAACTTAGATTGTCTGTAATCAGGAATTGCCGTTCATCTAAACAAACAAAGTAACAACAGGAGGGCCAACTGTTGTGAAGGGGTTTTTCTTCACTAGGGAAATA